GATTCCGTTGTCTTTGCTTGGCATGGATGATGTCCGGCAGCTGGCTCAAGCGTCAAGCTTTCAGATGACGTTACACACTCTACACCATGCGTTCAAGGACATGCAACGATAGGTAATGCGACGCGCACTAGAACAGCTCGACAACAGGTCCTGATGTCCCGCATATTCCTTGCATTTCTCCTTTGACTCGGCATCTTTTCGCGAAAGATGGTGCTGGGAGAGGCCGTGACGGCCACGGTGCTGCGACGCAGCGAGGGGAAACTGGGCCGGGCCGCCTCTGCGTGCATGCAGGCGGGGTGGGCGGGGATTTTCGGGTTCCTGCCTTTGTGTACTCTTCGGGAGGACCATTTGGCGGCAAACAGAAATCTCTGGACTTGTGTTGGCCAGCAAGGCATATGTGGCGCGGCTTCCAGTCCACAAGCCAAACACACGTCGATAGTTTTTCTCCCAAGCCGACGGACTCGTGAGACTTAATTTATTTGTGCTCACAAGGTTTTAGTTCCACGAGCCTTCACGATTTCAACATATGTCCGTGCGCCAGGGAGAAAGAAGAAGCTTCGAGGATGTCCACTTTTGCGACCAGACCTCGGGGCTTGTTGGCGTCTTTGACGGTCACCTGGGCGACGAGGCGGCTGCCTTCTGCGCGGAAAGGCTTCCGCTGTATTTGGCCAAGGCGCTTGGTCAGTGTGTGAGTGTGCGTGTGGGTTGGGTGCCACCTCCTCACATAGGGGCACCCACCTTTTTGCAGTCTTTAAGGGGCGAAGTACTGATTCGGATTGATTCCGAAGACGAGTTCTTTGCTACAGGCTCGCCACGTCCCCCGCCCCTTGTTCGAGAAGTTTGCACTTCCCCCCCTTCCGCCCCCCGCCCCAGACCACCAGCGCATTCCCAGAATCTCGTCCACATGTTTGCGGCTAGTCCCAGAAGTTCGGTTTTTTGACAGCGTAGCTCCAAGGACAGGAAGGTCTGTTTTATATGTGTCGAAACTAGGACGTCTTTGGAACCCCTTCCTACGTCCTATTCTGGTTGTGAGGGGTCTGCGGTGATGCTGATTCCCTCAACAAATCTTCCAGAGTCAGATCTCAATGAGCTTTGAACTGAGATGCAAGCGGGGGTTGATCAAAAGGTCCTTTGCACGAGATGACCGCGACTAAATGGAAAATTGACCAACCGAATCAACCAAAAGGTCCGCTCCATAATCGGCTCCATACGATGACCGGGAAAAATCCACTGAGACGATTTGTCCCACATGGGAACAGTTCCCCAGTTGACACTGGGGAACCTGGGGGCCCTAAATGGATCGACCAACCATCAACCCCCCCCCACGTTCCCTTCCCGTGCCGTCCATGCCGTCCAGTCGTGTGCGTTTGGCCTGGGAGGCGGAGACGGCCAGCGAGTGGCAGGAGGCTTTCAAGGCCTGTGACGCGGAGCTGCGCGAGCGCCTGCGGACGGATGCGGGCACCACAGCGACTTGGGCTGGCCGAAGTGCGTGCCAAGCGCCGGGGAAGGGGGGGGGCTCCTCCGTGGGTAGCTTTTCCCAGTGGTGAAGGTTATGTTCTTTTGTTGGTGGGGGGCTCATTTCACATGCTTTCAAGGGGCTAGGTCTCCCAAACGACCCCCCAGATGTTGTGAACTGGCGCGAATGGCGCAAGTTCTCTTCGTGATGATCTCCTCGACTCCAAAGCCAGCTCCAGCCTTGATATGCAAGCGTAATCCCCCCGTGATGTGGCCCTGCCGGTCCACAACTCGTTTGGCAAACATGTTTTGCGGGATGCGTCTTGCAAACAACATAGCCGCAATCTTCTCGCAGGGCCCTGCCATGAAAACTGCCTTTGGCTCTTTGCAAAGCCTTTCGACTACGAAAGACCCAGCGCTACTGCAACTCCCGTGCGTTGGCCCAGCCAGCAGCGTGACGGCTGCGGCGGCCAAAAGGTTGCGCGATGACTGTGACGTTGGAGGCGGCCACCATGTTGCGTGCGAGCCCTAAACCCGCGCTTTCGGGGTCACAAGGCAAGCGCGAAGCCAGCCACCCACACCGGGTAGGGCGCCCCCCACCGCTGGGGGGGGGGAGGGTGGGGGAAGGGCTGCCCGGTGCTTTGTTTTAAAGCTCGAAGATTTGGATTCAAATGTGTACGAAGGCAGCGCAGATTGTATGCAGCATACATGCAGGTGTCCAGTTTTTAAGTTCAGACATTTCTTTATGGCTCCCAAAATTGGAGACCTTTTGGTTCGTGTCAAAAGGGCAGAGGGCAAACGGAAACTTGCGCACGGGCTGATCCATTCCTTTCTGAATAAAGGTTCTCAAGTTGGCCTTGCCGTGTTGCACTCATCTTGAGAAGCCAGCAAACATGTTTGCACAAATCTTGCGATTTTCAAAGAAGGATCCCTGCCTTTGCCGAGGCCACGGTTGTGCGGGTCAGGGAGAGCTGCTCCCAGGACAAGGCACGCGACAAAACGCGCCGCGCTGCTCACAGACTACTCATTTGCGGTCAGTCTAGCACTCCCGCGTTGCTAGTTTTTGGGACTACCTGGTTCTCTGATGCCTCTGCTATTTCGCTGAAGGCAAGAGTGTTGACAATGCGGCTCCCCATGTCGCTAGTGAACAAAGGTATATGCTGGATTGGTGGAGGCTTGACATCTGCTACAGGATGGTCTCGAGCTCTTAGTGGGAAGTTGTGGAGATTGTCGCGCTGTCTTATGGCAGAAGGCGCTTGGGCATGGGGAGCTGGAGGGCATGACTTCGACCCCTAAGGGGGAAGGAAAGGCTCCCTTGAAGAAGGTTCCTACACTTTGCGGAGTTTGGTTGTTTCGGGCTTACAAGGCGCAACTTGTCATGTAAGGCCAAGGCTGAGCGAACTTTGCTGATTTGAGGAATCATCAACGCCCATGTTTGCTATCCGCTGCTATCCTCCCATTGATGGACTGCGTGTCATGCATGTTTGGAAGACAACGCCCTGATGTACGACGGCCTCCCTAGCAGGGCCATGCCGCGCAGGAAAGCAACACGCTGCTCGCAACGAGAGACCATCGGCCCAGTGACGCGGAGGAGCGTCAGCGAATCGAGGCCGCCGGCGGGGAAGTCACCAAGGACCCGGGCGAAGAGTGAAAGGCGGGCCAAGGCAAGCGAGCAAGTAAGCGAGGCAAGCGGCGTTTGAAGTCCAGCCAGAAGGACCCGAACCTTGGAATTGGACACATGCGCTGTGAAGTGATTCCCAAGCAAGGTACGGGACAACATGGGACTACGAAAAGCGAAAGATGCAGGGACCTTCCTGTCAGTGTGCCATATTTGCTCATGCTGCTTGCGATATCTTTTGTCGACGCCAGTTAGACGGAATGTTTATCGACATTTCACCCCCCCCAGTGCGCGTTGGTTTGATGTTGCAAGACAAAACGAGGGATGTTTTGTTTACCTTCCGGCTGTCTTGCTTGCTTGGCCTTGCTTGGCCCTGCTTGCTCGCTTTCTGAGCCTTGCTTGCTTGGCCTTGCTTGCTTGGCCTTGCTAGGTTGGCGTTGCTTGCTTGAATGCTTGCTTGGCCTCGTTTGCTCGCTCGCTTGACCTCGCTTGCTTGGCCCTCGGCTTGCTTTGCGTTGCTTTGCTTTGCTTTGCCTTGCTTTGCTTTGCCTTTGCGTTGCTTTGCTTTGCCTTGCTTTGCTTTGCCTTTGCTTTGCTTTGCCTTGAATTGCTTTGCCTTTGCTTTGCCTTTGCTTTGCCTTTGCTTTGCCTTTGCTTTGCCTTGCTTTGCTTTGCCTTGCTTTGCTTTGCTTTGCTTGGCTTGCTCGTTTGGCCTCGTTTTCTTGGCCTTGCATTGCCTGGCCTTGCATTGCTTGCGCTTGCTTGCGCTTGCTTGGCCTTGCTTGGCCTTGCATTGCTTGGCCTTGCTTGGCCTTGCTTGGCCTTGCGTGGCCTTGCTTGCTTTCTGCCTGGCTGGCTGGCTGGTTGGCGGCTCTTTGCTGCTGGCCGGATCCTCCTTTGGTTTCTCCAGGATGACCCTCCTCGAGTGGACGGCCTTCTTTCCTGCAGCCGCGCCCTGGGCTCGTTCGAGCTCAAAGAGCAAGAACTTCGGCCCGAGGACCTGGTTTTTGGGCTTGGGCCAGTGTATGGAGTATGGAGCTGGCTTTTTTGACGTTGGCTGGATACCCATTCATTTCATGCCTTATTTCATCTCGCTGAGCTAGGGGAGCTATAGCAGCTGAGTGGTGAGTGTTGGTCTTGACAGGATCAAAAGGTTTCCTGCCTGCCAGATTGCTACAAGTGGCATGCCGCGCGGGGGGACTGGCTGATTCTTGCCTGTGACGGCATTTGGGACGTGGCCTCCAACAACCAGGCGGGGTCAAAGTTAAGCGCGTCGGCCGCAGTTTTTCTAGAAGGCGCGGAAGGAGAACCTCGTACTTGATGTGTTTGGGGGGGGGGGTCCCATTTCAGAGATCCCTATGTCTCAAAGGAACAAACTATCAGTCCAGGAAAGAGGGTTTGCTTTTGGTCGCCATTTGTTTTGCTGGTCAAAATACAGTGGATGGACGAAATCCATGTTGCGCCACCTGAGAAACCCCGAATGACGATTCCCCCTGTAAATGCCAACCAACATGTTGGATTTCGTCCACAGTAGGACGTGGGCCGGCCTCTGGGGTGGTACAAGGGTCTCCGACTCATTTGGGTCAATCCCAATGGGATCCTATTTTGGGGTAGGTGCACCACCCACTTTAATCTATTTTAGTGGGGATTGGGATGTTGACTGGGGGTACGGGGTTTTCCCATTTCGACCTCGGCAGGTGGTCGAAAGGGTCTGCCGCAGAGCCGGGAAAGACCTGGGCCAGAGGGTGGAGGACGGAACTGGGCCAAGTTACGACCGGGTGATGGAAAGGACACATGGCTGTGGGTCACTCCTTTAGGCGTTGTTCAACAGGAATCCAGATACGTGTTCTGTATTTGAAGGCGCACACATTGCAGTTTCACGTTGTAATTTCATGGATAGTGTTTCTCTCACTGGCGCGATGTGGGAAAGCTGTGACCCTGCCAAGCAGGTTTGATCCAAGAAGCCAGCGGAACATCGCACTGGGCAAAATCCTTGTGTTCCGTTGTCGTGGAAGTAAATGCTGGGTGGTAGAAGCCCGAGATAATTGTTTGTAGCTGGTTTATGGCGTACTGCACTTGATTCGAGTTGTTGAAGGACACTTTTAGTGCCGCGCTGATCTAGTTACATCCATCTTGGTTGGGCAAGGTCGAAGATGCAAACATGTTGACGGGAGCGGGGCCAACCGCGGAGGCGATGCTGCAACTATGCAGCAGCTCACTCGACAATCTGACATTGGTTGCCATTGAGCTGGGGGCAGTGGAGCCAAAGGCCGGGGCGTCGGAAAATGGCTCCGGACACAGGGTTTTTGGGCTCTGATCGGGATGTTAGATGTCCCTCAAAAGGGGGAATCCTCAAAGCAGTTTCACTTTCTAGGTTGTTGTTCTGGGGTCTTGAGCCCTCAATGAAGCAATAGACGAATGCACTTGCCTAAAGCGGATTTAGCTTACAAAAGCGATTCTTTGAGAGGGTATCGCTCTATGGCATGCTTAGGGGCGGTGTTGAACCTGAGCTTGTCATTTGTCACTTGAACTTGTTGTTTTTGCCAACCGGCGCCGCCGCCAAATGATAGGCGCATCCGCTCAAGTGCACTTGCTTAGCGTTGCATCCGCGCCAGTCAAATGATAAGCGCACCCGCTGAAATGCACACGCTCAGCACTGCCCACACCAACCAAATGAGAGTCACGCCCGCTCAAGCGCGCCTGCTCAACACTGCATCCAGGCCAGCCACATGATAAGCGCCGGCTCAAGCGCGACATTGCGTCTAAACCAGCCAAATGATGCGCGTACCGGCTCAAGTGCGCCCACTCAGCACTGCATCCATGCCAGATTCATGATATGAGCACTCGCTCAAGCGCAGCCGCTCAGCACTGTGTCAAAGTTTGAAGCCGCTGCGCTTGGGACAAAGGCGTAACACGAAGGGCCGTGCAAAGCGACCATGTTTTGAACTTTGCATAGCGAGCCGGTGTTTCTGTTTGTGGGTAGCTTGATGCTTTAAAAGGAAACACACCTTTAAAAACCCAACGGACTTGTTGGAACCCAGGACCTGAAACATCCCCAAACCGCCTTTACTCTTGAAGGTGGACGATTAATTACTCTCGCAAAAGGGTCCGCTGCAACTACACCTGCTGCTTGTTATGTTGCTTTCGCGGGGTCATGATGATTTTCAGAGGAGTGTAACTCAAGTTCCACAACCCTCACATCGCTAGGGAGTTGCCTGCTGGGGAAAGCGAACCGTGCGCCTGACGGGATAGCCTGATTTACAGTGTTTGTGTTCAATTAGAAGTCTCAGACCCTGAAGGAGGATACGGTCATGATGAATGCTGGTGACTTTTTGACAGCGAGAAGAGAGGAAGTGCCACGGACTCAGCGGGTCGCCGCTCCACTTTGCTTGTATCCGTTGGCCGACTTCCATGCCCAGACCACCTCAAAGCGTGCTTCGCATGACAAAATAGGGAAGGAGTGCTCATCAGGATGCTGGTTGGTTTAGCTTATACCAACCTTTTGTTGACCGTACAAGTCGAATATGTTTCAAAAGGATGAAAGGAGACCTAGAGACTGCATTCTCAAGGTGTCCTATTGGCTGAACGGAAGACCCCCAGCAACACTTTGAAAAGAGGGCCCCTCCTGAAGCTTAGGAACTACGTGAGCGCTTCCCTAATCAGATGCTTCCGCAGAAAAACACTCACTTGTAGAGGAATCTGCCCTTGCCCAACAAGTGGGCGTTCCTGCGAGTATTTGACGTGGGCGTTCTTTGGCATTGATGGTTTGTCGTTTTGACGCGAAGCGACGCGAGTCTGTCATCTCAAGCCAAGGCGGGCGCAGCACCGTGGCAGCGAGAGTACAAGAGCACGTGTCATCACGAGGTTCGGTCCAAAGACTCAGCTGTCTTTGGTCAATTCGGGAGGGAGGTGGGGAAGTCACTAAGCTTCTCGCGAAGGCCAGAGGGACTCAAAAATCTCTCCATGTCCACAGGAGCTTCATAAGTAGATTGTCACTCGCGTGTATGACGATAGTATAGAATATATTCATGATTTTAATGTTGGCCGATGTTGTAATTGAAATGAGTGGCGCCGTTGCTTTCAAATAGAAGATCCCCCAAAAGTTGTATCGAGAGAAAGTGTTGTGGAGCTACTTGTTGCGAATGATCTTCTATTTAGGTGGTACAGGTGCTACTTGATTGTCGTGGCGGATGGGCGGATCTGCTATCTGAATGTGGCTCGGGGTTTCATGCTTGTTGAGCATATGAGTGATAGGCTGTATTTTCTATTGGATTGGTCAGGGCACTATCTTTACATTGGCCGGCTACAATAGCTTCTTGTTGAAAAGAAGGGCAAACATCAAGAGGCGAAACAATGCAAAATCACAGGGTTTTGGAGCTTTTTCCCGGAGAGCGTATCAACATTGGGGATTTGCAGGTGCTTTGATTCAGAGGTAGTTTGAGAAGCTAGAGGTTAGAGTTAGAAGCTCGAGAGCTTGAGGTTAGACTTAGAGGCTAGACTTAGGGAGTAGAGAAGTGGTAGAGAAAACTTGTTCTTGGAGAGCGTGGCAACTGTCGTAGGTTAGAGTTAGAGGTCAGAGAAGTTACAGGGTTCGTCAGTTAGTCATGTCAAACCGTTTTCCGGGGCTTGGCTTTGGCCAAGGGGTGGGCGGATTCCACTGGCTGGCACCTGGTTCCGTTTTGGCCAAGACCGGATAAAAGCCCCGGAAGAGCAAGTGTGCGACCCAGAAGCTTTGTCACCTAATTCGTCATGAGGTATTTGTTTCATTGGGGCCTGCATTTTCGTTTGGCAACTTATGTGCTGAGGTATAATTCATTTGCGATGCGATTTGGATATCGCATCGAGAAGGACATTCAGGAGCAAGTAGCACTGGTGAAGACTGCTGCTCGGCTAGCTAGAAGTACGGCTTTGTTTAGTATCCTCCTGAATGGGTGGTTCGCAGCAACCCAAAAGCAGGTAACGTTACACCAAACACACCCACACATGGGTATTTGCCAAAAGGGGACCAACGTGAACGAACTAAGATTTGGAGGGGTAATGTGTTTACATGCAACCCAAGGTATTGAACACAGAATCAACGCCTTGGATCACTGTGTGTATTGTTGTATGCGGATGTGGTCCCGCATGCCATGTTGGGCATGCTGCCCCAGTGCTTCCCGTACCCCTCCAGCCTCGACTTGAGGCTGCCGCAAATAGGGAACCAACATGATACTGGTATTTGTTTGCGTGTGTGTGTGAGGTACATATGGGTTTCGGTTGTGTGTGTGTGTGCGCGCGTAAACACTGGACACCAGTTGGTTCAATGTTGTTTTTGCTCTGAATCTCCCCCGCCCCACGCCCAACGAGAACACAGGACCGCGGATTCAAGTCAGATCTATAGCGCATGTTGGCAAATGTAAACAACTGGTAGGACGAGACGACTCCCGATTGATATGGATGTATATAATGATGAGAGTGTGTCAAGTGTGTTCACCATGTATGAGCAACAATCGCACTTGTTAGGCGATAGTTTTTTGCCCGTTCCTTTGCGGGGCGCACGCAGTAAGTGCCACTACAGTGTTGCTCTGAGCAAACCTCAGCACTCAAAACCCCAGCATTGCCCAACATCTTGGCTTGTGACATCCGCAGGCATCAATAATTCAGAGATGCGAAGAAGGTTTCTTCAGGGAGTCTCCTTGTGGGATAATCAACATTATCACCTTTTGGGTGCGTTGAAGTAGCATCATGAAGGTGCGATAGAATATTGAAAGGGAACAATGGGACCGCTATTTGTTCAGTTTCCCGATGGCTGAGCCACAGCAGGTGGTTGCTTTTCTTTTGTGCTTTGACGCCATCCCAAAGGGGATCTGATTGGCAACATGCAACATAAGGGATTTCGGCGACGCCAAGGAGCGCGTTTTAAGACAAACCAAGAATCCAACTTGTTTTACCCACCAGCAATGTCGGGTTGGTTGGCGTCTCAGGAACCGAACCCTCCACAAAGGAGGTTTCCGGCGTGGCCTTTGCCCTCGTCGCAGCCCAGAGAGCAGCCAGACTTGCCAATAAAACGACCAATCTAGGGATTGGCCGAAGCTGCGGTTCTTTCCTGAATTCTTCTCCAGAGCAACTTTATGTTTGAGGGTAGACTACAAACAAGCAGAACCAGAGAACTTCCTATTTTCCGGGCCAAGTTTTGACCTTGCGCATTGCAAGGTTTGCTCAGTGAGACAGTTCGAGGGTTCGGGTCATCGTCGCATCCAAATTTCTTCGTAACGAGTTCCCCGAGGAGGGATCGAAGAGTTGATTGCGCAATTGTGGGTATCGGTGCAGGGCCGACCCCGGAGAGGTTCTACGGTGTTGTCTTTGGGCCTCATGAGAAGAGATAGCTAACAAGCACGGTTGTGTTAAGACGTTTTCCTGTTTGGAACCGATCCAAGGGGATCTTCCCGAAGACGCCAAGAGCGTTCTATATAGCTTGGGCAATGATGAAGAGGTGGAGAGAAACTTGTGAGAGTATCAGAGAGTCTCGCCTTGCAAGGTGAGAAAATGGATGAACATAAGGGGGGGCAAATGATAGCTTCCTTCCGGCTTCCACTTCCCTTCAATCCTGCAAATGCGGCTGGCTTTCTTGGTATGTTCCTTGCCAAGAGTCGTTCTTGGTTTGTTTTTGCTTGCGCAGCCCCGGCCAGGGTCACAGGCAACTTTGCAAGATGCAGACCATGGGATTGTAAGCGCAGACAACACCCAACTGCGCAATGTTGATTTGAAGCTATCTCCACAGGCCTTCTCCAAACCTGTCCTTTTGTGTGGTTGAAGGCATGAGAGATTTGGATCCTGCAGATCTTGCTCTCAGGAACGCAAGCTCAACGTCAAAGGCGGCGGATGCTTCGAAGTGGCGAGTCTGCAACACTGTTTGTAGTCCGCTCAATATCCATCCTATTTTACCGTGACTCGATATGAACAGAATCTGAACACATTTGGTTGGTGTATTTCGGGGGTGGGTGAAGAATCGTTTCGTTGGCCACGAATCATCAAACCAGAGATCCATCCCTGGATAGGCCCAGGAAAAGCCTAAAGCCTTGGGGCCTCATTGAAAGACTTGGTTCAGAGACAGGGACATGAGGGAGGAAGGGCCAATTTGGGCTCCTCCTTGGACTTTCAGACTTGCTCAATATCCAGAATCTAAAAATGCCATATTCAGTTCGGCAAAAGCCGTAGACGAAAATGAGCCAAACAATTGATTACAAAGACAAAAGATCAGGGTGTGGAAGAACACTCTCGAGTTCGGTGCTGAACTAATCCTGGTCACGTGAGAGTCACATTTACGTCTACCAAATCATCCGGAGGGGTTCAAATGTGAATAATGGACAGACATCAATGTGTATCCGTTTACGGAAGTGAACAGAGCCCCTGATGGATTTTTTTCCTCACGCACGAAATCAGGCGGATGTTTCTGTTTGGACAACTCATGACAACTCGTGGGAGTGTCCCCAAGAACCAATGTGTACCTCAGTTCAGCTTTGGCCAATGCTGAAGTGGTAGAAAGAAGCCCATCCTCATCCACCGATGCGGAGGACAACCCAGGCATTTCTCGCCTTATGCAAGCGAGTAGACGAAGGTCGTTCTTCATGCTTCTGGTTTATGCTCAAACGACCACAGGCGCCTGTTTTGAGACTCCATCAAATGGGGTTGGCTTCCTGAGGGTTTCTCATACTGTGGATGGACAAAATCCTGCACCACGTAAGAAACCCTGGAATGATGATTCTTCTGTAAATACCAACAAATTGTGTTTTCCTATGGTTTTAAAGTGGTGCAGGATTTCGTCCATCCACAGTAGCAGTCATTGCCCTTGTGTTGTTTCAGGGAGCAAACAAAAAGGATCTATGCTGTTGAGTTCGTCAGTTTGCGCCTCAGGGACCACACGAGCCCTTCGGAAACATCCACAGTGATGGAGTGCCGGGTATGCAATTGGTGCATGGGGCTGTGAAGAGGTGCATCGGGGTTTTGGCAAGCGCAAAAAGGATGAGCTCTTGGAAAAGCCAAGCAGGCTGCGTTGTTCGCGCTGGTGCAATGATGCTTGATGAGTTTTTTCTTGGCCTCGACGGACTGGGCGGACTGGCCCTGTTGCCGAGGATCTCACTTGCTTTTTCTTGCGAGAGGTCAGCTGATTCTGAGAAACACCCCATCCGAGTCAGTGGCTCTGTGCTTGTTGGGCGGAGGGTTTCTTGGTGTGCGAAGATGAGTTGGAGAGACCAGGAACTCGCCGTCCTTTCAACTGGGTCGTTTGAGTGGAGAGTTGGATAACTTATGATCCAAGACAGGCCATGGCCAGAGAGTGATAGTCGCATGTGCGGGGTTTTTGTCAGAGCGCTGGGGTTTCATCTTATGCGCCCTTCCGCCCCCCAATACTGTTTCATGTTGAGCATTTGACACCCAGCGAAGAATTAGGAATGCTGTTCTTATTTTGGATCTGCTGGCAAATTCTGCAGTCGCTTTTAGGAACCAAAAGAGCTGGGCTTCCACGCCTCCAACGTCGGAGGTTGACGCAGAGTGCCCGGTTTGCAATTGGTACAGACCCCAAGGATGATCCCAGCCTCAACTCACTTTGCCACCCTCTCTTTTCCCTGTGTATATAGTGGATCAAGGTATGGATCTCCCACCCCCCCACTCGGACTCTGACTTTTCCTGACCACCTTTTCATGAGTAACAGTGCATGCTGTCTCCTGCCAACGAGTCAAGAAACCAAGCAGTCTTGCCAGCCACTTAGCGGCTCATGTCTCCAACAATTGTGCTTTTGGTTATTGCATCCCTAACTTCACGCGGACACGCGCCCCGTTGCTAACACGGGCTGCCCTTCCTTTGAAACACTGCTTTTGAAACAACGTGGATGTGAGGCGGACCATTGACGACACTTCGGAAGGCTTCGATTTCCGGAGCATCGTGGCGACTTCGCTCAAAGGGAAGCATGCCCACGTTTGTGACATTTAACAGCACGATAAAGCAGCCAGCTCAGATCCAAGAAGGCACATATCCTATACAGCCTAAAAAGCATGGGCTTTCTTGGTGTCGCTCCCTGACTTGCTTGTCCGAATGCCCTGAGTATTCTTATAGAACAATGTTACGCATTGGTTAATGCATGCAGTCGATTCCTCGTTCGTGAGGTAGATGTTTGTTTAAGTGAGGTCCACGCCACTCCCCACTCTTTAAACTTGCGAACTAAGGCTTGGTTCGGCTGCTGTGGAATGCGCAAAGCCCAACGCTGGTAGCGTTTTGGAGCTGAATCATTGCACACTGTAACAGTACGCCATTTGAAAAGAGCGCTTGCTTGCCAGACATGTGGCTGCTCGAGAAAGGGTACCCCCAAAATGGCACCACCGTATATGATAAGACACACACTCGGAATCGAGAGCTCGCGTTCCAACGAAGGCATTCGACTGCCAACACACTGTTCCTCGACCACACGTTTTGTTTTTTTGGCCTCTCACAAGACTCACCTAGCAGCAAAACCACATGAAGGTCACGGATTCACAGGCATGTGCATTCCAAAGCCAACGAACGCGCATGTTGAGATGTGCAGCCACATGGGAGTGGCTCAAATGAAACAACTGAGGCAAATCTCAGGTTTTATACTAGAGTCCTGCCGCGGTTTCTGGTGTCAGCATTTCGCTGCTTGCATGGATTGGGATTCTCAACAGGCAGTGAGAGGGGGCAGTGGGTCGCTTAGGCGTCGCGCGAATGGTTCGCTTAGGGATCGCGCAAATGGATCGCTCCGGGATCGCTTTTTGCAGAAGGCTTATCGCGCATGCATGCGTGTGATATGTTTGCCTGGCGATGTATGTTTACATACGCGCATGCGCGAGCAGGAATGCGCTTGTTTGTGCTTGTTGGCGTGTATATCGCATGACATATGTGACGTGTATGTTTCATGACATATGTTACTATGTGTGCTGGCGAGTCCATGTATGTGGTTGTGTGCATGCGTGTTGACATGTCAGTGGCGGACGCTTCCATTTTTCAGAGGTCGTATGTGGTTCCTGTTTTGGCTAGATGGTTGTGATCCTGTTAAGCACGACCCCCAATGAAACCAAACAAGACCACATGTGATGCGGTATCATTTCCCCAACCCCCCCCCCAAAGCCATGTTATTTTGTAATCCGGTAGAAGAGTTGAGCGGATATGCTTATCATCCCCCCACCCAGCCCCCCGCCCCAGAACCATGTTATTTTGAAATCCGGTAAAAGAGCAGGCTGGTCTGCAGCAGGGGTGTGCCTATCATGCCCCCCACCCAAGCCCCCCCCCCCAGAACGATGTTATTTGTACTCCGGTAAAAGAGCAGGCTGGTCTGCAGCAGTTGAGCGGGTGTGCTTGTCATGCCCCCCCCCCCCCCACCCCCTCCCCAGAGCCATGTTACTTTGTAATCCGGTAAAGGAGCAGGCTGGTCTGCAGCAGTTGAGCGGGTGTGCTTATCATACCAACCCCCCCCCTCCCCAGAGCCATGTTACTTTGTAATCCGGCTCCCCCCCCCCACCCCCTCCCCAGAGCCATGTTGCCTTGTAATCCGGTAAAGGAGCAGGCTGGTCTGCAGCAGTTGAGCGGGTGTGCTTCTCATCCCCCCCCCACCCCCTCCCAGCGCCATGTTACTTTGTAATCCGGTAAAGGAGCAGGCTGGTCTGCAGCAGTTGAGCGGGTGTGCTTATCATTGCCCCCCCCCACCCCCTCCCCAGAGCCATGTTACTTTGTAATCCAGTAAAGCAGCAGGCTGGTCTGCAGCAGTTGGGCGGGTGTGCAGCAGGCTGGTCTGCAGCAGTTGGGCGGGTGTGCTTATCATCCCCCCCCCCCCCACCCCCTCCCCAGAGCCATGTTCCTTTGTAATCCGGTAAAGGAGCAGGCTGGTCTGCAGCAGTTGAGCGGGTGCGCTTATCATACCAACCCCCCCCCACCCCCTCCCCAGAGCTATGTTTCTTCGTAATCCGGTAAAGGAGCAGGCTGGTCTGCAGCAGTTGAGCGGTGTGCTTATCATCCCCCGCCCCCCCACCCCCTCCCCAGAGCCATGTTGCTTTCTAATCCGGTAAAGGAGCAGGCTGGTCTGCAGCAGTTGAGCGGGTGTGCTTACCATACCATGAGGGCAACCAAACAATGTTGTACAGCAAACCAGAAGGAGGAATATTAAATCAGTGTGCGCTAAAAAGCGGCCTTTGAAAAATCATACGAGTATCTTTATAGAACCGTACCGAGGTGTTGTGCAGTGTCTGTGTGTCAAAAACAGCCTGGGATTAACCCCCCCCCACCCCCTCCCCAGAGCCATGTTACTTTGTAATCCGGTAAAGGAGCAGGCTGGTCTGCAGCTGTTGAGCGGGTGTGCTTATCATCCCCCCCCCCCACCCCCTCCCCAGAGCCATGTTGCTTTGTAATCCGGTAAAGGAGCAGGCTGGTCTGCAGCTGTTGAGCGAGGGTAAAGGAGCAGGCTGGTCTGCAGCAGTTGAGCGGGTGCGCTTATCATACCAACCCCCCCCCACCCCCTCCCCAGAGCCATGTTACTTCGTAATCCGGTAAAGGAGCAGGCTGGTCTGCAGCAGTTGAGCGGGTGTGCCTATCATCCCCCCCCCCCCCCACCCCCTCCCCAGAGCAATTTTACTTTGCAATCCGGTAAAGGAGCAGGCTGGTCTGCAGCTGTTGAGCGGGTGTGCTTATCATACCAACCCCCCCCCCACCCCCTCCCCAGAGCCATGTTACTTTGTAATCCGGTAAAGGAGCAGGCTGGTCTGCAGCAGTTGAGCGGGTGTGCTTATCATACCAACCTCCCCCCACCCCCTCCCAGAGCCATGTTACTTTGTAATCCGGTAAAGGAGCAGGCTGGCCTGCAGCTGTTGAGCGGGTGTGCTTATATCCCCCCCCCCCCCTCACCTCCTCCCCAGATACTTTGTAATCCGGTAAAGGAGCAGGCTGGTCTGCATCAGTTGAGCGGGTGTGCTTATCATACCAACCCCCCCCCCCCTCCCCACCTCCGTCATCAATGAATGTGATCCCTAAGTGATCCGTGAATGTGATCCTCAAGTGAGCGTGTATCCCTAAGTGACCGTGATCCCTAAGTGAACCGTTTGAGCGATCCCTATGTGACCTGTTTGCCGTGAGAGGGGTCGACGGATTGGGGGTGCCATCGCCGTGCCTTGTAAGTCGTTCTTATGATATGCACGGTGGTCCTTCGGTAGGCCAAACCGTTGTTCCGGAACTTACCGTCCTTCCAACTGGCCAGAGAGTGATTTGGATAGCTTATGATTCGAAGGGGCACCATCTTGCTTTGTCCAGACAGGCCAGGGGGGAGTGGCCAGGTCGCATGTGCACGAGGCCGGATTTCCATCAGAAGTGGAGCTAGCCCGATCGGGATACATCTTATGCGCCCTTCCGCCTCCCACTGTTTCATGTTGAGCATTTGTCACCCAGCGAAGAATTAGGAATGCTGTTCTTATTTTGGATCTGCTAGGGCTCGCCATCTTCGACCCCTTGCCCAACGTCGAAGGTTGACGAGACCCAAGGAGAATCCCAGCCTCAACCCACTTTGCCACTCCGCTTTCCCCTAAGGTGATCTCCCCCCACCTTGACTTTTTATGACCATATTTTCATGATCAACGGTGCATGCGGTCTCCTGCCAACGAGTCAAAAAGCCAAGTAGTCTTGCTAGCCACTTAGCGGCGACATCCAAAACAACACCATTTTCTTGGCGGCCCCCGATTTTGAGTCGCGCCCACTTTTTGTCAAGAAATGATCGCCCGCTATCAGGGTTTCAGAAGATCAATACTTTTTCCAGGTCTGGGTCTACGGGGCATTTGGGTTCGACTCCTCGTTGATTGCCCGGATGCTTGCTTTGCAGTTCGAATGTTTAGACTAGCCGTTTTGACCTGATTTGCCACCACCTGCCACTACCTTACCTGCCATTTCCTTGGACGCATGTTGTCGTGGTGCGGTTTTGAAAATCCTTACTGCAAGCGTGCTTGGGCGCAAGCCTTGATATCGAACTTCACATCCATTTGACGCCATGCTGTTCCACGACATGGCAATGGGCATGGTGCTGCTTCAAAGCGGCTTGCACTTGGACACTCCTCCGGTGATTCGGCCCGAGCAAATGGCCGCTGCGCAGTACTGGGCCTATGGCGAGGGCCGCTCTGACGTTTTTCCGAGCTGCGCCGCCGCGCGCGCTGCCAAGAACATGTCCTGGTTCAGCCAAACCTGGGGCGGGGCCTTCCTGGCCTTGGAGGGCCGCCCCGCCTACAGCGACCCCGCGATCAAGACCCTGGACGGCGTCTACATGTTTGACGCGGAGTACTGCGTGCTGAGCGGGCTCCTGGACCTGCCGAACAAGGAGCAGCTGCTGACGAATTTCTCTGCGGCCATGGCCGTTCAAGAGGCGGTCTGCGGGAGTGAGCCGCTGAAGACCCTGAAGCTCCAGGCCTTGGAGGACGACATCTTCGAGGAGGTGGCCAAAGATTTTGCGGTCCAGGAGCAGAGGCCTCCGTCCCAGCGAGAAGCTCCTATCCAGAAGGAGGGCATATTGGAGCGGCTCAACGCGCACCATTGCGCCGGCGGCTCCTACGGCTGCATGGCGCACTTCTGCTCCTACAATTTTTGCAGGCAGGGAGATCGCATTGCTCAAGGCAACCAGTGCCGAAGTGATTTCGAAATCCTATCTCCTCCGTTGAAATGATCGGAATTTGGTTATTTCTTCAACTTGAGCATCACGGCCAGAAGGTTGGCTGTCCATAGCATTCCAGCTCACAAAGCTAAAGCTTGGCGGGAACATGTATGAGAATGATGGATGAACACAAATTTGAATGGGAAAGAAGCAACGACGAAGGCAGAGCCCACCTGAGGCCGCTACAACTCATCACAATGAACGGAATGAATTGCATGATTAGGCTGTGTGAAAATTACTAAACTTTTAATTCCTTCTTATTATTTGTGTTTTGAATTTGAATAAATTAATATTTAAATAAATTATATAAAATATATTATTTGAATAATTTGGGGAACACAAATATATAAACCCATTTTGGCGGAATTTTTATGAATTTATAAAATATATTATTTGAGGAAAAAATATTTTAATTATTTAAATTTTATTGGTTTTAAAATTCGAATATATAAATATTATATTATTAGATACAATTTAATTTTAAAAACAAATAATAAAATTAAATTTATAATATGAAAAAAAAAACAAAAACCAAAAAATATTATAATCCGATAAAAAATATAATATATAAGAAATACGATTTCTAAGTTATATTAATTTATAAAACCATATGGTATACATATAGCATTATAAAAAAACAAATAAATTTGTTGGAATTGTTATTTTTTTTTTGTATGTGTTTTAATTTTTTTTTTAAAAAAAAATAATTTTGTATATTGTTATTTGTTTTTTTTTAGGGTGTGTTTTATTGTTTTTGTTTGTTTGTTTATGTTTATGTTTTTTTTTTTTGGGTTGTGATGGTTATTTTGATTGTTTTTATGATTTTTATATATTTATGTTTATTGTTTGATATTTTTTTTGTGGTTTTTTATATTTCTTTGTTTATTTTTGTATGGTTATATTTGTTTATTTGATATTGTTTGTTTATATTTATTTTTGTTTTTATCTTTTTATTTTGTTATATTTGTTTTTGTGGATAAATTCACAAAGATGTTATATTTTGGGGTTCCTCTTTTAAATTTTATTTTTTTTCTTTTCGTTTCATTTTTTCTTTTTGTTTCTATTTATTTTTATTATTGTTTTTGTTTGCTTGCTTACTTCCCTCTTTCTCTTTATTTTCTCGTTGTGTTTTTCTCTCTTTTTTTTTTTTTTTCTCTCTTTCACATTTTCTTTCTCTTTTTTTTTCTCTTTTTTTTTTCTCTTTTTTCTTTCTCTTTTTTCTTTCTCTTTTTTCTTTCTCTCTTTTCTTTCTCTTTTTCTCTCTCTGTCTCTCTCTCTCTTTTTTTTTCTCTCTCTCTTTCTCTATATCTTTTGCTCTTTCTCTTTCTCTCGCTCTTTGGTTTATCATTCATACGATGAGGAACAATTTGCCTAAATCCTATTGGGACATTATTTCTCTCTCTTTCTCTCTCTTTTTTTTCCTTTTCTCTTTATTTTAAATATCTTTTTGAATATCTTAATTTTCTCTCTTTTTTTTTTTTTTTTTTCTTCTTATTATATTCCTTTTTTTTTTTTTTTAAATTAATATTAATAGAATTAATGGGTTTTATCTAATATACAATAATTATAATAATTCAATATAAATATCATATACAAAAAATATATAATTAATTAATATTTAAATATTAAATTATATAAATATATAAATCAAAATAAAACGAAACATAATCATTTCATACATAATACAATATATTTATAACTAAAAATAATCTATATATAATTTAATATTTCTTTTTATTTCGAAATCCCAATAAAATCATTACAAGTCTAAAATCAACATTTCCAATTTAATCAATCCCATATATACTTAAATCTACCAAAATAATATAACAACCATTCCATATATTTAAAGAATTCAAAATATCATACACAATTACAATCACTATATCTATAACAAAAACAATTTCCAAAATAATTCAATAAATCCAAAATATTTATCATATTTTTTTAAATAATAATAAAAAACTAATATCATAATATATTATAAATAATAACCAACACCTAAACCAACAAACACAATTCAAACAAAAACCAAAATAATAAAACACAAACATAAAATAATACATAAAAAAACGAAGAAACACAATAACAACAAACAATATACAAACCAAAACAATAAGAAATAATAACAACAAAATAAAAAACACAATATATAAAAAACAAACCAAATACAAAAGCAAATACAAATAATACAAAGAAATCAAATACAAAAAAAATAAAAAACAATAAGATAATATAATAAATAAACAAATCCATCCAAATAATCAAAATACAAATATACAAACCATTTTTTTTTTTAAATATAGAAATACAAACATATAAAAAATAAGAATGTTTCCGAGAAAATCTAAAACAATTTACGAAAATAACCTCTACAAATCTAAATATCAAACTACTAAAAACCACCCAAAAGAAAGAAAACAAAAAAAAACAACAACACCATATTATATCATTTAACATTTTAAAGAATAATTCCCGAATTAAAAAACCAAAATATAATTTATTTATTATTAACAAAAAACAAAAACAAATATAATCATTCACCACAAACAAAATAATTCGGCCAAAATATAATTTCACTATGTTTATAAAATACAAATCATACATCCCAAAAATATACCAATTTATAAAAACATGTTAAATCCATATTATTCAAACCATTATATATATATAAACAAAATATTAATTTTAATATATCTACCAACAATAACTTAAATATAAAAGCCATCAATTTCCAATATAAACACAAAAATAATTATCAATAATCAAGCCGTATTTCTCAATATATTACATTTTCTGAAAACATATTCGTTTATTGCCAATCCAAAACATATGTACAATTTAACGGGTGCAGCTTGGAAAATCGAGGATTGCTGACATTTGCCTGCCGTAAAGCTTAATGTGTGTTTCTTTTGTTGAATGTCATCTATTAATCCGAATCACCCTCTTCCTTTTGAAGAGGGGCGCTGGAGATTTCGTGAAACGAGCTATCAACTTTGTACATGCGAACTCAGCGCGTGCCCTTCTCGATCTTTGTCAACAAACCTTGGAGACTGTGGGCATCCCAGTGAGAATCAAAGTCAATCCCTAAATGGCAGGTTTACAAAAGGCAGGTTTAACACCGAAGTCAATGCTCGAGCCCCCAAAACTCAAAATAATAGGCCAATCTCAGTTCAGTTCCGCTGGCCAGCTTAAACAGCAGCCCTACCAAGCTGCAAGCCTGCATCTCTTGCACATGTGAGCCATGCCCAGCGTTCGCTCTGAGTGAAACCGCGCGTGAGATCCCATCCAACATCGAACCTGACTGGACATCGGTGAAAGACAAGAATCCTCTAACCGTCTGCCATAAACCCGGCTGAAACGTGCGCAGTATGTTGCTGATTCTGTCCATCATAAGCAGCAACAGGCGCATCTCAATTGAAAGTCGGAGCATGTCAAGGCGGCAGTGTAAATCAAAACTGCCTGACATTTGGCCCAACCGAATGGCACACCAAAAGTAGTATTTTCAGATTCTGCTATAAATTTAGTCAACAATAAAATACATCATCATACCGGAGGAGACCCCACAGTCTGGGATTCCAGTGTTCCAGTCGGATGTTGTCGAACCCGCTGTCGTTGTTTTCTTCTTTTTTGCCATCGAAGCGCACAACAGTCTTGGAATAAGATCCACAGCAAACCTCTACAACATTAGCAGCCCAAGCCAACAGTCTTCTGTGTCCCTACAGCGGATGGACAAAATCCTGCACTACTTTGAATCCAGGAAAAACCATGGTTTGTTGGTATTTACAGGGGAATCGTATCATTCCGAATGGGTTTCTTCGAACCACAGTATCACTTGGGTGACCTATTTCGCACCCGGGGCTCCGCGCCAATTAAGTTCACGGAGTTGCAGACCATAAAGGCCGGCTCTCCAAAGTCCGCAGTGGCCTGTATCAGGTTTACTGGGCTGCCCTCAGATCCCCCGCTAAAAGTTTTTAACTTTTGGTGGGTTCGATGGAAACTACAACCAAGCACTAAAAAGCTAAAAGGCTAAGGAACCGGATGGCTGGGAGCCACCAAGTTTGGAAATTGCCTTGACAGTGATAAAGCAATCACGAGCATGAACCGCTTTGGTATCACAGACAATGGATTTCTTCCTGCCGAGTTGGCACAATGGGTTACCCCTGATGCTCGAGCTTGTGGCTTCCTGTACGAGTCTTTCACGACGGTGGGCAACGAGAGGAGTTTTCAAACCATCCTTTGGGGATAAACAAAGGGGACAAGCAATTGGTGCTAAACAGGATGTCTTGAAGCATTCAACCAATATGAGACAATTATCAATCTTCTTTTGATTTGCTGGGGCAATCAAACTCAACCGCTAAGCATCAACTGCCTTTCGAATTGGGGGGACTCTGGATTGGCAGCAACAAGGACAGTTCCCTGTATGTTTTTAAGCTCATGGGGCCACCCCTGTAAGTTCCAAACAACACAGAGATGCATGAAGGTCACCGTGGCCTGAAAGTCAGAACATAAACATCAAGCTGGCCGAACTTTTTGGGAGAAACGATATCAAAGATCTCAGCTACAGGAATAACATCAGTAGCGATCACACCCTTTTGCCTACAGAAGCGCATCGAAATGCGTGGCTCAGCAGAGTCATTGCTGGTAGAAATTTCACTTGCAAAGCAAGCACATCAGGCATTGCCCCCAGAGAGACAAACCGGGTCTCGGGCCTGGGACGGGACTCAGATGGTGTGCCGAATACTCGTCTGCGCAGATTAACATCCTCCCACCTGCGCCACCTGAAGGCATCCTGCAAGATACCTTCATCTTTGACCGAACGTGTTCACATACCCAAATGATTGTTTCTTGTTTGGTCTCCCTTTGTCATCCCTCTCTCTTTTGAGGCAGACATAGGCAGACCCACACATTCCCGTTTGGCTCCTTTTTGCGTTTAGGTCTGGTCCATAGTGCAGAACCTGCCCCACCAAGCAGGAAAAGCTGTTCCAGAAAGGCCCGCAATGGTCCGGTAGCATGCCTGCGGAATCAAACTCCTAGACGTCTGACGGGAGCCATCTCTCTGTCCCTCCCCATAGCCGAAAGGATATCAGAGAAGAAACCAAGCACTTGGGTTTGTCTCTAAAAGGAGAAACCACTGCAGCTCTGATGTCAATGCTCAAGTCGCTGGCGCTTCCCTTTCCACGTGAAAAGCCGCGTGCCCGATTAAAAACCCACCCGCCCGTTTTCTCGTTATCTGGGGCTCCAAACGTCGCTTTTGGCCGCCCGGAGTTCATTCCTGAGACCGTGTTGCGGTCGGCTGGCAAATTGATCTACCTATGCTGGTGCCATAAAGGGAAACCACAGGGGACGCTTATTGTTTATAGGGGTCATTCCCTCATTCCCTGCTGAGAACCGGGCCCTGCAACGTGCATTGCCCAATGGTCCAGGGTGGTAGGCCCGAACGGAGGGTTAAGAAATTCGCGCTTCGGCGAGCGGGCATGGTATGGTGTTGGCAAACCTAATCAATTGAACCGCTTGGCGACCTACGAGGGAAGGACACCTCTTCGCATATATATATATATATATATATGGTACCCCCCCACCAAAACCCACCAGTTTGGTTATATATATATATATATATATGGTCCCGTGTTCCGTGTTGCTACCCCCCCCCCCCCCATATGGTATGGTCCCCCAGGACCCCGGCCCGAGACCCCGAGCCCCCGGATCCTGGCACCTACGGTCCCACCCCCACCCCGACCCCCTGAACTCGCACCGCGACACCCCGGCACCGCAACTAACCATAAACCAACACTAAACTAACCCTAAACCAACCCTAAACCAACCCTAAACTAACCCCAAATACACCCTAAACCAATCCCTAAACAATAAACCCTAAACCTAAACCAACCCTAAACTAACCCTAAACCAACCCTAAATACACCCTAAACCAAACCCTAAACCGTACACCTCTGAACCTAAACCAACCCTAAACCAACCCTAAATCAACATAAGTCAACCTAAATCAACCCTGAACCAACCCTAAACTAACCCTAAATACACCCTAAATATACCCTAAACCAATTCTAAACCAACCCTAAACCACCACAACCCAACCACAGGACCACAACCACAGGGGGGGGGGGGTACTTGCCTGACCCATGACCATTGGGGGGGGAGGGGGGGGGGGCTGGCAACGCTGTACCAGATATACATACAAAAACTCTTGGTTGATGGATTCCCAAACAAAAACACCCTCAATTTTCCTGGCCCTCTTGTCGGCGGCGCTGAAACTGTGACTGCAGCCTTGGCGAAGCCTTCAATGAGGGGCGGAGATGCCTCAAATGAGGTTTGCGCTGTCTTCGCCGAGATGCAAATCTGCAACTTCTGGTTGGCAGAGGTGTTGAGCCGATTTTGAGTTCAGAGGGCACGGGATTCAGATTGAAATGAAGCCCAAGAACGCACACACAATACTAGGTCCTCCAGTAGAGAGGTTAGAATAACGGTACCCTTTTTTTCTGTAGTCTATTTTAGTAGGGAACCCTCCCCCAGAAAGGGTAAAAGGGTACTACTGCGGGACCTAGATCATGCCAAAGTCGAGCTTGTGCTGATTTCATGCTGCTCCAAGTTCTGATCCGAGTGTCAGCTTGGAAGGCTCCAGAAGGATCTTCTTAACAATGTTCTTGTTGCCGCCTTGCCTGGGAGGCGGAAAGGCGCAGGCCTGCCTGCGGAAGCAAAGGCAATCAAATGCCAATGGTTCAAATCTTGGTTGACGTTGGAAGGGGAACAAAAAACATATTTTAGCGGTTAAGTGGGGATTTCCCACTCAACCGCAATAAGTCAACATGCAAAATGTTTCCCAACAACAACCATGAACTGCTTGAAAAGACTCACCCCTAAAACATAAACGCTGGGCCAAGATCTGGTGACATTGAAAGCTGTACAAGGACCGTAACATCATACGGCTTCAATGGCTTAAATGCCAGTGGTCCCTAAAACCCTGAGTTGGGGAAGCCGTACAAGGACCCGAGAGTTCAGGGGCTCAGCAAACCCGGATGCTGTTATTCTTTCCAAACACAATCCGAAACTGGGTCGTTTGGAGCACTTTTCGGCCACAAACATATTCTGGAACTAAGTACTGTGTGTTTCCAGTCACGTAGGTTTTTTGGGTTTGGCTCCTCTGAACCAGTCACCACAGTTGCTGTTCCAAGACCAATAAAATGTGGAGAAATGAGGTGCCCCGACCGGATTTGATTTGAAGCGGGAATTTGGGTGGCCCGCTTTGCCTGAGCTAACCATAGACTACCTCATTGTATCTGTTGCTCATATGGAACATGGGGTAGTCAATGAGTTTCCATGTAATCCCTCCCCTCCCCTATTAAACACATGCACACTATTCATAAAGATTATGTTCACCAGAGCTCAAGTCTCCCAATACGGAATTAGCATTGGCCGACACTAGACCATATCTAGGCCTGCACATTTCCCGCCGACCCCTTCTCCAATAGGGGACTGTTTAGAACCAATACTTGACCAATACTAAACCACTCGGCCGAAACTGAACCAATCTTTAAACCAATCGAACCAGCGCAGATCTAATGACTTATACTTCCTGCTGTTTGAATCCCTGACTCGGACATTTCGAACAAAATTTGGGGCCAAGGGGGACCTCATTACGCGGACCGGGGCCTCCAAACCAGAAACGTAGCCCATGGAAGATATGATTCGGCCCCCGGGCGAATATATTTACTGGGGATTATTAGGGGGAACGGACCACAAATTACAAAGCTATTGGTAATTGTGAGCAAGCCACGTTTGAGCCAGCAGATGACGGTAAGAGTCGCCCTTGCTCATGCATACATATCACTCATATGGGCATTTCTACTTTTGATGGCTCCTTTTTTGGTGTTGTTTGACAGGGAAGTTCAAAAGGACCTTTCGCAGTTTCGAGGTCCTCTATTTGGAAACAACCAAACTTTATATGTTGTTTCTCCATATTTTGTAAACGCACATGCTCCCAACCACAAACAAGGAACCTGAACTGAAAGGGTCGCCCCTGCCATTTTCCTCATCCGGCCGGGGGTCCCATTTGTTTTCCGAGGGCATGGAACAATGAAGGCTCTTTACCTGGCTAGTGTGGTGGAACTTGAAAGCCTCGTCCTATTTCTTATCCGGACGAACGAAGCATAGGCAACTCAGAATCACATTCTGACCACGCACATGAACCATGGTTACTATTCCTTGTGTCAACTCCATTTCCTCCAAGTTGAGAAACCACAGTTTTCCAGCCCCCCCAAAACAATCCGGTTGCCACTCCCATTGAATCCGCCTCGCCTTTCGATTCGAAGCCTCGAACCGTTTTCAGATAAGGGGCGCCACGGAGGCGGTGATCTCCACCGCCTGCTCGTCCTGCTTCTTGAAGGTGATCTCCATCATCTTCCTCACTCGGAACGGGGGGTTTGGGGGTTTGGGGGGGGGGTTTGGGCACCAGGCAGCGGCGAGTGGAAGTGGGGGGGGGGGGGGGAAAACACCATATCTTCCTCGTTTTTTTTTCTTTTTTCTTCGGAGGTCCAAAGTCCAAACAAGGACAGCAGACGGAAAATAGACGGATTTCGGCGCGGGGGTGGGACTTGGGGGCTAGGGGTGGGGTGGGGGGGGGGTGGGTTGGGCACCGTCTTCCTTGGCTTTTCTTTTTCTCTCCAAAGTCCCAAGTGGCAGAAGGATGTCAAGGCGCGGCAGTTTGGCGCTGGGCAGGGGGCGGGGGCAGTTTGGGTTCTTCCTCGGTTCTCCTTTGTTCTTCTAAGCAGCAGCTGAAAGCGTTTTGGGGGTCGAGATAGGCCCAAATAGGCTCGTTTGGGGTGGTGCAGGCTAGCTTTCAGGGAGGGCTCCGCAGGGTTCCAAGGGTTGCGGGGCTGTTGATACCACCTGAGCTACTGCTTTTTTCCCCAGAAGGCGTCCAGGGTCTAAACAACTGCTGGCAACTGTCATTGTGACCTTCCTTAACACCCAAACTTGGAGCTGGAAAGTCGAACAGAACACATGGGTGTGCCTTTTGTAGGCGGACTCCCCAAGATGATGGTGTTCCTTTTGGTTCCCTTTAAACCAACCCAAAACAAGAACCATCAACAAGAGAGACATCACCACATACTCCTTTTCACGGTCGCCATTTTGGGCTTGGCCTCATGTCTTACCCTCCAACATGGAACTTGACGTCTCCGGGTCCCGGAAGACGATTGTCCTTTGAAAGGAGATTTCCATGATGGACAGGAAGGTAAACCGAGTTTCCCCAATCCCTGGTCGGAAGCTTCTCGCAGGGAGCCAAAGAAGCTAGCCCGAGGGAAGGAGTTAAAGATGGCTTAACAGGGATTTTGGATGTGTCGATCCCAAGTGGGATGTGGAACACCCCCCCCAAACAGCTCTTTCGCCTTCCAGTTCGCTTCCCCTTGGACAAGACCACCAAAACAGTCGAAATTAGACCAGATGGTGCTAGGGCCTCTTGAGGGACGAAATTAGAAGGAGCCCTTGACAACGGAGTTGGCCATTGCAGACATCCCGCATCCCGCGCCAAATCCCTGCTTGCTTCGCACATTTGAGCTCATAGCCCAGATTCCAACAAAGAATGTGTTCTTGAATTTGCAAGTTAGTATTCTGGCGCCAAAGATTTCCTCTCAGGACGAACACCGAACGGGTGCATTGAAGTGGCATCCTCAAAGTTGCCATCTACATGCTAGTGTAAAGGGAGCCGTTTTTTTGGGGATCGAGTTCGAGTTCGAGTGGGGTAGCCTATGTTGTCTGAAGAAACAGGCAGATCAGATACATTCTCCTCCATTTGCTTAAGTCCCCTGGACAAAATGAAATAATTCCAGTAGTGATAGATTCCTTCAAAACCAACAGGGGAAACTAACAAGTACTCTTAACCAAGTGGAAGTTCCTGTCTGGTTTGGGTGCTGTAAGCAAGCCAGGGCTTTAGCGAGCGATCCCTGCCAACGGCATGTACAAGGAGCCTCAGAAAGCTGGAATAGCCCATGGTGCTTCCTTTGTGCGGAAAATCAAGCTCGTGATCTACAGCCCCCCCTTTGCTCAGCCGACAGGCCACAGACACATTAGACTCTATTGGCCTTGAATTATGTAAGATATTTACCAGCAAAAGCCTTGACCTTCGACTCACGGTCCAGGGGATTGGAGGCTTCTAACTAAAGGCTGAACTTGTGGGTTAAATGGACCCCACAAAAAAAACAAAAAACAAAAAACAACAACAACAACCTAAGGAACCGGACGGCTGGGAACCGCCAAGTAAAAGGCTTGCGAGCAACGCCCAAGGCGCCTTGCGGCTTGCCTTGCGGCCAAGACTCTGCATTGCAGAGAATGGAGGGCACACCTCCACCAAGACCTGCCGAGAGCTTTCCGGCCGAAAATCGGACTTGTCTTAAAATAGGAATCGGACCACCAACATGATGGGTTTCCTTTTTGGTTTGCGTTTTCAGGGCCCTCAAAAACACCAAATGGTTGTGGAAAGAAACACCTTTCTGTGATACATATGTCACCTTCACAAGGACTCCCTTGATATCACACAAGATGGTGCAAGTTATTTACAAGGTAGGCCTTTGGGGAAAGCTACCCTTGGTTTTTCGGATGCGTTGCGGAAATCAAATGAACCTAGACATCCTTCTGTCTGAGCAATCTGACTTCCATGAACCCAGCAATGGCTTTCTTTGGAAGATTCATCCTTCAACAAACAACAACACCACATGGAGCTATTTGTTAACCACGCGTCCAACATACATCCCCGGAAGCAACAACAAATAAATAAAGCGGACCTGGTGGTTGGACTTGAACCACATGTATCCGCATCATGCCACCTCCACTTCCAAGCCCATCGCCCACTTGGCCATGACATGGTCGTCTGGCTGACTCTGACATCGAGCCCAAGGATCTTCCAAAAAGAACTGCGCCTGAAAGCCAACGAAATCCTGCACCATGTCACAAACCCTGGAATGATGTTTCTCCTTGTGAGTACCAACAAACAATGGTTGCACATGGTTTCAAAGTGGTGCGAAATAGATTTCGCCCATCCCCAGTATCATGTGATGCTGCGAAAACGGGATTCGCTCTCAAAAGAAATGGAGGCGGAGGTTTCTGGAACAAAGGGAACTCGCAGGGCCTGAAGAACTTGTATGAGGCAAAACAACCATTGCCCATGGGGTCTCAAACTCAGGGAGCCTTGGCTGGCTTCCTGTTTCAATCCCTTGACAACAAGTGTTCCCCAAACACGTCCTGGTGATTTCCCTTCAAAACCAATTTAAAACTGGCCGGGGGGGGGGGGGCGGGGTGGTTCCCCAAACACGTCCTGGTGATTTCCTTCCAAAACCAACTTAAGAATCGCCGTGGGGGGGATGGTTCCGCAAACACTTCCTGGTGGTTTCCCTTTGACACCAACTGAAAGTGGGGGGGGGTTCCCCCAAAAACCTTCCTGGGCATTTTCCAAACAACTTTACAACAGGCGAGGGAAGGTTGCCCCACCCAAATGTTTGCTTTCCAAATCACGTCTCCGTCCATCCGCACCTTCTGCTTCTTGAGCTGGGCGATGGAGAAGGTGGCCATGGGGATGTAGGAACACCCGATGTCCGCAATATCCTGGACGGTTGGGCGTGTCGTTGTTAGGGAACCCAAGGGACACCCAAACCATGTCGGCCGCGCGGGCTTCCAACATGGTGAGCCGCTTTTTGAAGGGAAGCCATCAGGAAACAACCCCTAAACAAGGGATCCCCGGTTTTTAGTTTTAGCGACCCCACGGACCAAAACTAGGCGCCAGTCCCAAGGCCAGCATTTCTCATGCAGTGAAGTACTAGGCGTCTTGCAAAGCTCGACGGGATGTCTGCCAAGGAAGGCAGATCCCATCTCCATGCTCATTCAGACTCGAGCGACCAACACTCAACTTGTGTGGGCTCAACATAATATGCCGGCTTCGGCGATCCGCGCCACTCTCCTGCGGGGATTTCCGAATCTGTCTTGGCTAAGCATCCGCACATGAAAGGGCCGACGAGAAACCAGTCAACCAGTCCCTGGCCACTTTCCTGATGGCTCACAACATGATAAAAATCGGAGAATTGTGTCGCTTACTACGACCGCACTTCATCCCATTGCGGCTTCCCTTGGGGCAATACTTATGAACGAGAGCCATAAATCAATAGGGCATCGTCAAAACCGATACTGTGCAAAACCAAATTGGGCCTAAAACCGAGACCCCGAAAATACTGTCCGTTGCTCATATGGATTCATGAGCGTTGACCAACCTCCTAGTGCCCCTCTCGACAGCTTTCCGAGCTGGTCGCTCCAGAAACGTAGCTCCACTCGCACTGACTTTCTGGGTAGAACATGGTAGAACATGGTTGAAGTGCTCCCACTCCCCCCCTATGGAGACGAATTTTGACATGGGCATGTCTGCTTTGAGACCTTGACTCTTTTGTTGTTTTAAAGGCAAATTTGGTGTGCGCTTGGACCCCCCATCAAAAACAAAAAACAAAAAACAACAGAACAAAACAAGAAGAAAGAAGCAAACTTGCCTTTTGCTTCCCCCTTGAACCATCCCATAAATGTTACTCTCAGGTTCCTTGGGTTGGGGTGTCACTTGCCCCAAAGCACCTGGACATAAGAGGCGATCACCTTTGAGACCTTCACTAAACATGGTTGCCCAAATGAGAAAACCAAAACGTCAGATCCGGTCGATTCGTTTTGGCCTGAGTAAAGGGATGGTTTTTCGAACAAATGCCACATGGGTGTGTCTTTTTTTAAGGCTGGACCTCAAACAATGGATTTCGGTTTTCCCATTGGTTTCAAAATCCACTAAATCTGTGGCAAATTCAACCTAAAAACAGACACACCCACCGGAGATCTAAGTGCCAATTTAGAGCCCTCGCTCCTTGGCTGGGATGAGACTCGGCACCGACTCCACCTGGATTCGTCGTGATATTTTCAGTTGGCATTGCCGCGGTTTTCCGGTTGACTTCGGGTACTAGAACGGCACATTGACATGCCCACGGATTTCTCTCAAGGGAAGTGGCATCCTGGAAGGTTTCCCGTTAAGCAAAGCAGAAAGGGGCAAAACAAAAACACGCACACACACACAAACACACACACACATACACATGCTCATCCCCACAGCTCAAACTCAGCCAAATTACTTTGCGAAAAGTTGGTAGGAAGGAGTAGGGCATGTGGATCTCGTAGGACAACAAACATGCAAACATGTGAAGTGTGGCAACGAGGCAAACTTGAAAGGTGGCATCAGCGCATTGGTTTTGTTGTTGGTTTCCCGACCTACAATTGAAGGACGACACATGTGCCAGAGTTTCATGGTTTCAGCTCAGACATGATTTCACCCGGCAACATCTGCATGACCTCTTCAACTGCTCTAAAGAGACACTCCCCATCCTGTTGGAAAGAAACCAAGCGACAACTACACAAACTCGACCCACAAATGCGACGTGGTAGCCATGGGGAGGCCCTGGCCCCCATGAGGATGATGAATGAACCTTAATCACCTAAGGTCACTAGTCACTGCTCGCTGGCCAAGCGAACCCTATCGTTTCACATCAACTCATGCAACGAGCCCCGAACCTTCTTTTGGATGTTTGTGAAGGAGGGCGTCGTCCCGTACACGCTGCAGGCCTCAGTCGCAACATGCCGATGGCCCATTCGACCATCCCTTTGCCCGAGCCCAGTGAATGGGAGGACACTTTCTCCCAAAGGTTGAAGCTGGTTTTTCCCAGAGAATCATGTGTGCTTTTCGCGACCCTGGAAACTCTTCCAGGCACCTCGGCTTGTGACTCCTGCCGAATTCGTGCTCTGCAGTGTGTCTTTGCGCTATCCATGGGGCCCGTTATCTAGTTGGAAGGGTTGCTGGGTGGCAACAAGCGGCTACCCAAAAGCTGGCATTGTCTAAATCTAAAAACGATGCGTTTTCACAGAACGGCACAGTTTTTGTGACACACGCCACAAATCTGGGGCTGAATGGCACGGCGTTGCCAAACTACCCCTGCATCAGAGCCATACCAAATGGGGTCATTGCATGGTTTTCAGCGCCGACAAAAAGGGGCCAGTGACTCATCAGGCACTTCTTCCACGGCTCTGGTTCTGGAGATTTCAAGCTTACATTTTACATTGTTTGCTTATTCCAATTCTCCTGCGTGAAAACCGCTGCAGAGGCTCAAGCCAGCTATGTTGCGGGTTCACACGCGCATGTGCAACTCAACTCTGCTCGTGAGCAAGGCTTGCCGCTGTGTTGTGGTTGTGCCCTTTACATGTCGGCCGACTACCTCTTTTTGTTGGCACAGATCAGGATTACAATCTCAGGTGGGTGTGGATGCCGTAGGCTGCGGGTGAAGGGTCATCCTCATCAAGAGGTCATGAAGACACCAGCCTCTTGGAGATGCTACGCAGCCTCACCTGCAAGGATGTCTGCGAGCTGATCACACGGACGCTGCCTCAGGACAAGAGCCATCGGCTGCGCATCATGGCACGCAGAGTCCTGCAAGATTGACACGGGAAGTTTCCACCGCAACAGTGTGAAGCAGATGCGGCTCGCGAGGCCAATGAAGAGCGACTACCTGATTCACCACGAGCACGATCCAAGCACTCGAGCACGGGGCATCCTCTTGGTGCTCAGGGATGTCAAACATGTTGGAGAACTTTGCCAAGTGGCGTCCGACATTGCGTGGCACGTTCGCAATAGTTCGCTCCTTTGCTTGGAGCTGAAGCTGCTTGAGCCCCTTCAAGTCTAAGAAGGCACCTGCTATTTTTCGTTCTCCTTGCGCGTGACTGTGGAAATCATTCGTTGGCTCCGCCGGGTATCTTCTCAGGCAAAGCCTGCTCTTCACTCTGCGAGCTGAAGATGCCCCGGGAGCTTGCGTGGGAGAAATTCAACAGGTTCAACTTTGTTCCAGATCTGGCAGGCTAGCTCCTCGTCAACCGCGCCGCTCGAGGTGTCCACCTTGAAGATGTTGAAAGTCCGGAGACCTGTGTACCAGTCGTGGCAATCTGTTCGGTGTAGTAGTGCTGTGGTCGGGCCCATGAGGATCTCGATCTCGTCAGGAAAGGGGGCTTGCGAACCACTGTTGCCTGCGTGCTCAGGAAGATTTCAGCCATGCACACAGGGAAGGATTATCCTTGCCAAAGTCCATGAATGATAGATTGCCTTGCAGATCCGTCGGTTTGAGGGTTAGTCTGTTGGCTTCATCCTGTGCCCCAAAGCAGCACGTCGGTCTGCTGTCTGGTATTCATGCTGTAGCGTTGCCAACGGCGAGCTACTCCGCACAACACTGGTCAAAAGGCAGCGCCGCGAGAAATGCATCGCCTCACTCCGACTCCCTCGTCACCAGCAGCTTCGCAAAGCAGATTGCTCATGCCTCGGCTGTGCGTTGGGCTTGTCGCTCTTCTTTTAGAAGTCAATTTGAGGATATGGACCATGGTGCGCGAGAGATCATCAGCACCTAGCTGGCCTGCACAAGCGAAGCTTCAAGGGGGCCCCCTTGCGCCTCGCCCACCAGGCGGCCTGCGATGAGCGGGCCGAGCACCTCATTCGTATGTTCGCAACTCTGGTACCGTGGCTTCAGCTTGGCGAAGTATGTCTTCAAGGGATGGCCATCGATGTCAGGCCCCCTCCCGGAGGAAGATCTTTGCGGAACTCCTCCAAGAATCCTCCACCTGGTTGTGAAGGCGATGGCAGATCATCGCCTGGAGGCACTTCGTGGGAGCGAGCCAGTGCACAGCAAGCTGCAGGCGAAGCGGCAGCGCCTATCGCGCGGATCGAAGTGGCTGGAGCGGGCTCCGCTACCAAACACTTCGTTTCTTTCCTGCGTAGGCTCAAGCCGGCTATGTTGTGGGTTCGCATGCACATGTACAACTAAACTCTGCAAAAAGAAATGACTGAGCATCAAAGCTAACGACCTGCCAACTGGTCGGCTTTTCTAAGTAATCATCTCATCTTCTAACGTCCCAACTGTTTCCCACAAGAATCCTCACAAACACGCTGGTTGGAGGTGAGTAGTTGGTTTGACGCATGGGCTATGGACCACTCCACCGCTTGAGCCGCCCTCTCGATCAAATATGCCGAGCCGCTTTGGAGAGTGTGTTCGGCAGCTTCAAGGCGAGGGAAAATTCTGGCGAGGAAGGCAACGAGATGCTCCAATACGTGGGGGGCTGGACGGTCTCTTGTCAGAGAAACCAGCTGCAGCAAATTCACAGCAAAACTGTGCAGGACATGTCTGCCGTTTCTTGGATCTGCAAACCTTCATTTAAGCCCCTGATTCAAACTTGGCGAGCGGAAAAGTATTTACAACAGCTGCAACATTATGATAGGGACTCTGTGTCATGTTGCAAACTCAGACTCTCAAGCGCGCTAGATTGGACCAATGTGCAGCAATGCTTGACAACTTTGGGCTGGATTCGGAAGGGAGACATCGACAGCCACGAGCTTGCGTGAGGTCCAAAAGAACCCGGAAAAAAATCTTCAAGGAGTTGGAGCCCCGGACACCCCAGGAAGGGTTCCTGGAAGCTTCTTGGAATATATTTTTGGGGATAAGGGGGCCCCCCTCTCCAGAGCACTCATGGACATATCTGTAGTCGATAGGTAAGGGGATTATCTACCTGCGCTTTGGGTGCGTGTCCAAAATCAAGACCCCCTTGCATACCCCACACAAAGATGGCACCAGTTGAATAGCAAGACTAGCATTGCCACAACAAACAACTACTGCAAACAATGAGTGTACTGTTCCAGGGAAGCCTTTTTGGGACACTTGCCATTTGGCGCCTCTATTCAAAAAAGGGCCCTCGTTTTCAACTCGGGTCATGGTTCGTGGCATTGGGCAATCCACAGCGACAATTCCAACTAAGGAGCAATCATTCAGAGAGATATACCTCTAATTTGGGGGTGTCCCGTTTTAGTCGGAAATCTTTTTGTTGTGGCCAACGAATATTTCTCGCGTTTCGCCCGATCCTCCCGCCCAGCCTACGGCACCTTTCAGCTCCGCCTTCTGTTGCCTTAGGTCCTGGCGACAGTTGAGCGGTTTTCCAAAGTGATAAACCAATCTAAGCGGATGTTCAACCAAGTTTCTTTGCTTCAAACACGTTTCTTTTTACCAAAAGGACACCCATAAAAACAACAGCCCCAAGCCCACGATCCCGTTTTGGTTGGCTGCGAAAACTCGTGGTAACACCTCGTGGTAAAACCTCCTTAAGCACCAGCTCACAGGCGACAAGCAACTCACTTGCCCCCTTTGACCCTGGAAACAAGCGGCCATTCTAGGGGTTGATTCCCCATTCTTTTCAGCCATCGTTCTTTCAAAAACCAGCCATTTCCGCAGGGATTTTGGCGGTTTTCTAGAAAGAAGGATCCCTGGAAAGAATGGGGAAGTTACTCCTGGAGTCATCACCTTTTGGAACTTCGACGAAATATCGACTGATCAGAGAAATCAAAGGTTAAAAAGTTGATTTGCATTGAGGTAAAGTCTGGAGTGTGGAAGGTACAAACTGAAGTGGTCACTTTGAACCCCTACAGTACCTGACGGATTTTGACAGGACCGACAAGAATTAGGGGTATTATGATTCATGATGCTTGATGTGGCTTCTGTCAGCTGTACCTGCTTTTGCTTAAGCTCCCTGCAGCACAAAAAATACTTCCAGTAGTACTCGAATTCCCCTTTAGAACCAGACAGGGACAATCAACGATATTCTTAGGCAAATGGACGTGTATCGAGTCAGGATCACATGCTCGGAAACGGCAACCTCTCTTTGAGTCTTGGACTGGCGGAATTTGGTGTCAAATCTCAGAGGCGATTCCGATTTTCGGGTACCTCGGGAGCGAAACACGTCTGAAGTGATTTCCATAGTGGCCTCTGATGGATAACGACGCACTATCTAATTTGGCCCTTGAAGGGATCCCCATGTTATATGCGAATGTTGAAAGAAGGGGCTCCTCAAGATGATTTCGTCTTGTGGAGTCTGCATCGAGTTCGTAGCAACTTGGATTGTAATTTCGTTAACTGCAGTACATATTGGGTAATCGATAGTCCGATAGTCAACTTTGACCACGTCGAATCTAAATGTCCTCCTACACCTGTCATCACCTGTCATTCAAGCTGCCTTGCGATGACTCACAACCAAATACTAGCACCAATCTCTTCCTGGGGTCTAGAGTCAAAGCAAACACTTGCAGTTGCTACGACTTACGTATGACCGTATTCCCAAAACGACAACGAACAAAACGGTCAACATATCCCCAAATCGCCCCCCACTGCGCCGAAAGGGGAAGACCAGACCTCGTCATTGGTGGTTACCAACAGTGGAGTGGCAAGCTTTGAAGGCCTTGGTATCGCTTTCCGGCTTGGTGGGCTTTGAGTCGACTGAACGGATTCCCAACGGGGTCAGGGGGATCACTCGTTTGCTTGGGAATGCCGCTTGTCCGCAGTAAGCCTGTCGTAGCAACTAATTCTTGTTCAAAGGGCGGCATAATTTCTACCGCAGAGCTTCTGATGGCCCAAAGCTCCCCCGCACTCCCTTGGGGTGGGTCATGGAAGCACAAACGGAATGCAACAAGTACAAGTGCATCCGCTCCACAACACATGAAATCCACCAACACTTTACGAATCCTCTACCTCCAACTTCACTTATCAGCCTGATCTGGGAAAACTCCGAGTCTTTTACCCTGCTTTCCATGGCTCCAACGTGGGTTGTTTCACCACAAAGTTCTCGAATCCGAAAATCCGAATGGAGTCCTTCATGTACTCCTGCTGGCGCGCCAAGACCGCCTTCAGGTGCCTGGCTAAGGCCAACCAAAAAAACCGGCCGCCGAAACGGTCGGTCGGTCGGCAGGCCCGTTGAGCTGTGCGACGAAAGCCATCGCAGCACCGTGCTGGGCGAAACGTCCGTTTTGAGAAATCCGCTCAAAGTGACCACCGAGACCCTGGGCGAAATACGGGGAAAACCCAGCACTAACGCTAGCAGTGGCTAAAAAGCGAAGGAACCGGATGGCTGGGAGCCACCAAGAATGATAGTCGATTCCCCAAGGTAGATACCAACGACAATCAGCGGTTCAATCATGGCTTCAGTGGAGGTAAACGATTCGGCCAATCCGATTTTCCATAATCCCTATAGGGAAGCCACTGCAAAGGGAGCCAATCTTTGCGATAACCCAAGGTGTTCAGTCCTAACATCCCCCCCTTGGCAAAAAATGCCGCAACACCAGATCATCTAGCCCCGATTATGAACCAGCTGTGCCTGTCCGTGACCTCCAGGTACCTGAACTGGCGCTGCCGGCCCTGAACCTGAGCGGCTTTACTGGTCAGCAAAAAATGAGCTGGAATGATCCATATCAACCATCCAACTGGTGGCTTCCCTGAAGGTTGTCCAGAGAGGCTAGAATAACTTGGTACCCACTTCTTCTCATTTTTTTTCTTTTTGTCTCTGTAGTCTATTTTAGTACGGAAACCCTCCCCCAAAAAAGGGTAATTAATAGGCACTGCTGGGGGACCTAGAAGAGAATCCCTGGGTGCCTTCCCACATTCCCTACTGTGCACCATGCAAGCTATTGTTCAACTCACTTAGTAGGTTATCACCTTGATAAATGGGGTTCACCTGAGTTAGTTCCCTTAGCGAAGTGAGTTGAACACCCCAATTAAGCTGGAAACGTAGGGGAAAATCGCATCGCCCGGGACAACCCCCGGAATTTGCCATGCTCTTTGGCATGGAATCTGAAAAACCTTTTTTGGAGTTTCTTGGGCTCTTCACTGCCGAGAACTCGAAACATCCAAATCTTCTGCGCCAACCAGCCCTCTTATGTTGCTGAAGGCCTAAGCAAATGCAAGACGTTTGTCTATGGCTGGCCTGTCTATCTTTCAAAATTGTAGCCACCCTACGATCACCATTTCGCAGCAAGTTCAGGAGAACCGCATGTATATCGCTGGACATACAGCGAACAAATGCACACCTCGCGTGACATGGTCAAATCCGGTCGTGAAGTCTGAATGAGCTTGCCAACATGGCAACATCCCCATTCCAGAGGGGATCCCTGGTTGATCTGCACGAGGCAACTGAAATCCCAAGTGAACACAACTACCCCAGAACTCACTTGCCCAATGGACCTAGAAATCAAAGGTTGACGTCTCTTTTGGCAACGTTGGAAACCAAAAGGTAAGACCGATCGGTCGATTCGCTTTGGACAAGCGAGATCATTTCCTGTCCGCATCCGCCCGAGCCGAACCGAGCCGCTCGATCAACCATGAGGTCCAGAAGTTGCTTGGGCTCTGCCCCGACATCAATCAGCTCGTTGATCTGCTGAACCCTCGGCACAAACCGCTGAACTTTCGTCCCTCCAGATGAAGGCGACGTTTTTGTTTTTGCCGGGTGCGTGATGGCGCATGGCCTTCGTCGCCCAAAAAACCATGACAACTCAGGCAAAAGAGGCCTTGGCAGGTTTGCCTTTGAGGCCTCGGCAGGTTTGCTGGCGCAAAGGCGTGGCCATTTTGGGATAGTCTTTTTCACAGCGACATGAAGGGTGTATCACGCCCAACCCCATGGAATTCAGCGTGGAGATGGGACATGAAGGGTTGGTCTTGTTTTCCTTGCGGTCTTTGTTTGAGGCCATCCTTTTGGGAGTTTGAACTTGGAGGACAAAGGACACCGCGTTTCAAGGTTCCCCTGTTTTGAGACACACCCACTGTGATCATTCGCAAGGCCGTCCAATGGAACCTCCCACACTAATGTCTGGGGCCGGATCACATGGTAGCTTCCTCCGCCTGAGAAAACTTTGAGGTGAATTTGCTCAAACGACTCATCAAATGCCATCCCGAGAGGTGGAAGCGCAGTTTGATTCACATCCAAACCAAGTTCGGGTATCGAATTGCTCGGCTGGGGAACGTCAGGTCAGTCCACGCGCAATCAAGATGGGATTGATGGAACTGAGCCGCAAAAATTGGTGGAACCTAGCAATCCTTTGTCAACCAAAGTTGGGCTGTGGGTCAAAAATAGGTACCCAAAATGGAACCCTGGTAAATGGAAGCAAGGACTAAAACCTGCAGTCCCCTGGTGGTTCAATTTTGACCCATACCCATGTGCCTCCTTCCGCAACTTGACGGCGCATCGGAGGGTTTTGAGCAATGACTAAGGACGCTGCACTTCTTGAGCGCACCGCTGGTCAGCTCATATCTCTCTCTCTCTCTCAACCGAATACGCATGGATCATGGCACGAGCGGACCCCAACATGGATTATCAGCCTCCCCTAGTTGGTGGCTTGGATTGGCAGGTTGGTGGTTAAGGAATACCGTACTCTACAAGAACCAGGGATTCAAAGCCAAATTTAAACCATTGGGCTCCAAACCTGAACCAACATCAAAGCGACCAATGTGGGCCCCCACTTTTGAATAGTGATCACCAAAGACCCTCGGAGCTAAGCACATGGGATCTCAAAACATGAGGGTTTCGGACATCCGCCTGCCTCCCGGCACCCATCCAATTACTTTGCGCCCTGAAAAAGGTGGCATTCCTTTTGAATTTCCTTAAAGGGAACCCCAAGGGCAAAAGGTCCCCTGAAAATCAGGTCCCGAAACTGGTTGATTTCTTTTCCTTTTTGAAGCCAACCGCTCGCCCCAAAAAAGGCACAGCCAAATGCTGTGGGTTTCCCCTTTTTCAACGTTCAATACGTGGGGGCTCCCCACAAAAAAGGAACCACACCCATCTGGGTCTCTCGCAACATGGGGGGGGGGCTTGTCCTTTTAGAGTCATAACCGACCTGAAAACGAGTCCCGAGCCTCCCCAAATTCAAACTGGGCTGTCCTCAGCTCCCCCGCAAAAAGTGACTAACTTCTAGTGGGCATGGAACACCCCATTAAAAATCAAAAAAACTGACCATTTTTTATTAAAGAATAAGAACAACTAACAATATATACTATGGAACCGGATGGCTGGGAACCACCAAGCAAACTACCCCAGGCTCGCTCCTCTACCTCGCTCTTTTGCTCGCTGGTTCAAGACGAGTGGCGCGGTGTCCAGGTCGTTGATCATCTGGAGGTCCCCTTCCTCGTGCCCCCCCGCGGCCAGCTGCTGGCGCCGCGTCTTGAACTCGTTCCGCCTCACCGAGTCGTTGGGCAGCTGGAGAACGGTGCCCGTGTTTGTGGTTAAAACAAATGGGTGGGACACTGCGTGTTTCACGTGGCAACCAAAAGGACCGGGGTTGTGTAACCTGCCTCTGAAAGATGCTATGGGCCAAAAGGCGACATGCAGGTCAAACAGGATCCCTCAAGGGTCGAATGGTTTCAACCTGGTTCACTGGTCAAATCTTGATTGCTCTAAAGTTGCTTCACCTGAAAGTAGATGAGTCAAAAGGTTCGGCTTTGGACAGCTGAGATTTGGGACCCCAAGTAGATGATTTCCTGATGGCTTCACCGAACACACCTCCAAAAAGGGGGGCCCTATTTTGAGACAGCCCCACTTCTTCCTCAGCCGAGTTGAACCAATTTATGCGCACCCGCTCCTACAACGCCCAAAAGAACCCAAGTCTGGATTCCGACCCGTCAGGTTCTTGGTGTCGGTTTATTGTGTTGCTTGCATACTATATCTGTGCTCGTCACATTTTGTTTGCTTGCTTGCTTGCTTGCTTGTCTCTGTCTGTCTGTTTGTCTGTCTGGCTGTCTGACTGATTCATTGATGGATAGATGGATTGGTGGATTGAGGGTGGGTGGATGCACAAATTTGTGGATGGATGGATGGATGGATGGATGGATGGATGGATGGATGGATGGATGGATGGATGGATGGATGGATGGATGGATGGATGGAAATTCAGATGGATGGATGGACGGATGGATGGATGGACGGACGGACGAATGAGTTGGAAGGAAGGAAGGAAGGAAGGAAGGAAGGAAGGAAGGAAGGAAGGAAGGAAGGAAGGAAGGAGGGAGGGAGGAAGGAAGGAAGAAAGGAAGGAAGGCTGGCTGGCTGGCTGGCTGGATGGTTGAATGGATTCATGGGTGGATGGGTTGATGGACGCTTTGCTGGATGGATGGGCGGAAGGGCTAACAAACGGACGGATTGATTGCTTTCTTGATAGATCCTTCGGCTGAAACCATTTACTTAATTCATTTATTTGTCAATTGTTGTGTGCCAGATTTGTGACTTACTCCATTCTTCCTGGGGAGTCTGTAACCCACATGGGTCTGTCTTTTTAGGGAACCCGGTCCAAAACCAATCCTAAACCAGCCCAAAGCTCACTTAACCACACCCTGAAGCAACCCTCAGGCCGCTAAGCCAGCAACACACCCAACACAAATGGCCGTGGCGAATTCAAACAACCGGCGAAATGGAACCCTGGTAAGTGGAAACATGGACCGAAACCTGCGTAACCCCTCCTGTTTAATTTTGAGCCACGTCCAAATCAGCTCCAGGCGAAGCTCACACCCCAAAGTCAACCTTAACCCCAGCCAACCGCCCGGATGCCACCGCCCCTTGAGCCCCGAACCCCAAGACGCCGAAAGAAAGATCTACCGCGATCGGTGTAAGTCGGGAATGAGGAATGAGAAAGTAGGTCCTCCTACCAACTTGTTCTTCTGTCGTCTATTTCAGTAGGGGAACCCTCCCCCAAAAAAGAAACGGCAAAAGGGCACTACTGGGGACCTAGGAATGAATTCCCGGGGGCTTTGGTCCCCGAATAAAGGACACCCACTGGATGGTAAAATCTCAGGGTCAAACTCCATAACTCTCAGGGAACATCTCTCGCATTTCTTGCACCAATCCCAAGATGTAGCCGAAAACCAGCCCCGAGCAGCTCCTAGGCCCAACTTCCTGTTGCCCAGTGGATTGGCCCAACAAAAACAACCAAACCTTCCATTTACCATGAAAAATTGTCCAACCCCAAAAAGGTAAACATAAAGTCCGAAACGGACCTCAGCGTGTATGAGTTGAAAAATGACATACCCTGCTTTACCCACGCACCCACCAGCCGCAAGCATCCAGGCGGCAGCCGCGCAAAGTCTTTGCTTTCGATGGGCTGGCAGCGTCGGAAGAGCGACTCGAAGAAGGCGCCTCACGAAGGCGCAAGGCGCTCGGCGCTTGACAGCGGCGGCCGCTCGGTTCTCCGAATTCTAATCGCGTCCCTTTCTCCCAGCTGAAAGCTTTGGGGCAGCCCAGATAGGCTCCGGGGTGGTCCGGTGCGGCCCTGAGGTTCAGCTCCACGAGGGTTCCACGTTCCACCAGGGTTCCACGAGGGTTCACGAGGGTTCCACGAGGTTCTGCGAGGGCTGCGGGGTGGTGCGAGCACTAAAAATAGCACCGCATGCTGTTGGGGATATCACCTTCAAACACAAGCTCCTCTTGGTTTTCGTCTGTTTGTGGTGTTTGCGGCAAACCAGGGGATTTGCAAGAGGAGATTCCTCCGTGAAATTGCCATGACAAAATCTCCATTTGGGTGCGTCTCTTCTTTGATTTGGACCCCCAAAACAGTGGGTGGTCCTCGTTTTCTTTAAAACCACCAAAAAGGGAACCCTCCAAAAAAGACAAAACCATTCTTGGTGGTTGACCATGTTTGGGGTTGACCATGTCTCCCGTGTTGGGGTAGACTTTTTCTTTAGTGGGGACCCACCAAAGGCAGCCCCATTCAACCCGATCGGCATAAGGGGTAGACATTTGGCCCCTGGCAAAACGAAACCAGCGGACACTGCACGGTTTTTCTTCTACCCTTCATCTTTCGGAGCCTCAAAGTAAGATGATCGGGATGGTCCCTTTGCCACCGTTCTTGGTCCAAGTTATGCACAAATACTTCGGGGCCCAAACAGCGTAAAAAGGCCCACCAATTGGTGATAGTCTAGGTCCTCCAGTAGATAGTTTAGAATAAGGGTACCAACTTTTTTCTGTAGTCTATTTTAGTAGGGGAACCCTCCCCCCAAAAAGGGTAAAAGGGCAGCTCGCTCGTAACAGGAACCCCAGCGACCAACAGAGCGTCATGTTGGGATAGTCTCCATGTGAGCCTATTCGAATGGCTTTCAAGGGAAGCAAAGGTCAAAAAAAGCCACACACACACACACACGCAGGGAGTGCGCGCTTCAGGAAGAAACGCAATGGTATATAACTTGTGCCACTGATGACCTGAATTCAAACAGCCGAACACGCTCGAAATTTCGACATGCCGCCAAAAGCACGTTAAAGAAACCCGACACCACGCAATGAGAAGCCAAGCGAATTTCCTTTCACACCGCGGAGTCATGTACCACTGTACCTCGTTTTGGCACTTCAAGCAGCATGGCAACTAGGCCGTCGAAATCATGTATCTCCCGGGTAGTGGAGAATCTAACTGAAGGATCAAACATGAGGGGGGCATTCCTCAAGATGCTTCTGGCAGTTTCTTGTCATCTGTTTTTGCACAACACATCACAAAGCCGAATCTATTTGCTCATAGGGGAGGGATTGTCAAGCTTGCGCTCATTTATATATCCTTGATAACCAAAGAAGGACTAATATATTTGGGTATGTGTCAAACTAGAGAGGCTCGCACAATCTGATGTTTACCCCTTCTTTCCCTTAAACACATTTGGCTGTGGGTCAAAACTCTGTACCCCTGGTGAACGTCAACATAGGTGGCAAACGGATGTTCATCCACCCCAAAGTGGAGTCATAGGTTATGTCCCATGACCATTTCCCCAACAAGTGGGTAGCCTCAAAAGCATAGGTGTCCTTTTGGGACAAATACATGGCCCTGGTGGATGATTAAAGCACCAGGTAAACCAGGGCCAACTATTTTTCGACCAAAACAACCAAAAAGGACACGTATGCTCAAAAGCATGCGCCGCGTGCTTGTCCCACCCGCGAGCCAAGAAGGCCTTGGGCGTTGCCAGCCGCTTCGTCCTCGATAAAAACCTGAGTCAACCCCGAGAGAAAGAAGCGAAGGGAAACCCGAGTCCCAAAGAAACTATCCGCTTTCTTAGGTCCTCCATTAGAGAGGTTAGAATCAGGTTACCAACTTTTTGTTTCTGTACTCTATTTCAGCAGGGGAACCCTCCCAACCAAACACGGGTGAGAAAGGGCACTGGCGGACCTAGCTTCAATTCCCCAAACCACCAATCCAAACCAACCAAGGGTTGCCTGAAACCAAAAAAACAAAGATGCCAATAGAACAAACCCTTCGGTATCCGACTTAGAGTCGACATAACTTATCTCGCTTAATCAACATCCTGGTAACCAGGACTTTCTTCTATTTTGCGCGTCCAGCGGTGGCCAACTGATTCAAGCAAGCTGTTGGTTTTGATTTGGGAATCTTTTTTGGGGACCCCCCCGAATACACACGTAGATAACTAAATAACTACATAAACGAATAAGCAATAAACACTAACTAACTAACTAACTAGCTAACTAAATTAATAAGTAAATAAGTAAATAATTAAATACATAAATGCATAACAACAGAAATACATAGTTGAAGAAATAAAGAAACACATAACTTCATGGCGGGGTTCCCTTTGGTTTCCCTCAACGCCACCCCCCAAAAATAATGATAATAATAAAATCCTCAAAACACACGCCTCCGTTTGTGAGCCCAACTGTCTTTCCCCAGCCTGGAAGTTCAAAGGTGTTGAACACGATCTTGCTTTGTCTCACGGTGCCAAGTTGTTTAGGACATGTGAGCTCGAAACAACATGTTTTGCAATCGGAGACGACCTCTTCCTCCGGAATCACGGACCGCGCCACTGCACAACTTTGATTCGTACAGAAAGCCCGGATCAGGACAACAACGGTGAAATGGTTGCTCACTTCTGGCGCTGTTGGCCGCCACATAGACCTCCTGCAAACAACCGGAGCACATGTTGAAACGCCAAAGGCGGAAGCCAACCAAACACCGCCAACCCGGCCTGCTCACGAGCCGTTGAAGCGGGAGCCATATGGATGGAAATCCGGCACAACCTAAGATACCCTGGTTTCTGATGACTCTCCCGTAAATACCAACAAACGGTGTGGCTTGCGATGCTGTCAAAGTGGTGCCAAATGGATGTCATCCATCCACAGTATCATTCAAACCAGTTGCCTAGACCCTCCTGGGGTCAACCCATGGGCCGAGGATGTGGGCCGAGGATGTTGATCCGTCCAGCTTCAGGAGTATCCCATTTAGCGCCCATTGACTTGGAGGCCATGGATCCACCAGACCTTCGGCCACCTTCCAGCCCATCGCCGTGCCAAGCCCAGGGAACACCCCAGCTCCGACTCCTCCATTGGCGAATAGACGTCCAATGGAGAAAATGAGAACATATGCCCCGTCGTGAAATTGATTCCCGAATCAAAACCAACGAGGGGAAACAACACACATACCCTCACTCCCACTAACCTAGCACCTGACAGAGGCTCCCTACAAGAGGAAAATGAATCAAAACCAACGAGGGGGAAAACAAACAAATTTTGCAAATGGAAGGACGTGTTCCTCCAGGACTTGAGGGGACAGCCCATCGCGACAAGGCACCACCGTTCAGAAGCCCATGGTCTGATTCCCTGCAAATGCGAACAAACAGTGGTTTCAACCATGGTTTCTTGGGTGGTGCAGGATTTCATCCATCCACAGTAGGGATTCACCACAAGGGATAGGTCGTATACAGGAGTGACTCATAGGACAGACCGTAACAAACGATCATTCTCTGAGGGATTCCCTGAAAGGAAACCACCAGTTGGATGGTTTACGGGGTTCAACCCAAATTTCTCCTTCCCCTAGCCAAGTGGCCAAGCGCTGAGAGGCTTTGGCACTGCAGGCCCAGCTTGGCAAAGGGCAGGAGGATTGCAGGCACAAGAGGATGTCCTGGCCACATCAAATCCAACTAGGTCCTCCAGTAGAGAGGTTAGAATAAGGGTACCAACTTTTTTCTGTAGTCTATTTTAGTAGGGAACCCTGCCCCAAAAAAGAAACGGTAAAAGGGCAATTAGCTGGCAAACCTAGCCAAGGTGCGCTAAACATATTTCTGAGCCATGCGCTAAATTTTGGAGGCTCGGGCATTTTTTTTGCGCGGTTCAACCAAATTTCAACCGTGCACATATTGTGGCTCGTGCTGGTTGCAAATCCGCTTCGCACCACTGTTCGGAATTAGGGGAACGAACGTTTCTTGGTATTTACGTTGGGGAATCGAATCAGTGAACTCGGTTCTTAGGTGGTGCAGGATTTTGATCATCCACAGTATAAGCCATGTGCCAATCTGTTTGAGGCTCGGGCGGGGTTGGTTTGAAGGGAAACCAAAGGACCATCACCATTTTGGTGCCATGCATGGACAGGCATTTTGGGTGGTCCCGCAAAAACAGAGACACACATATGTCCGATTCTGTTCTCCGTTCTCGAGAGACCTCCCAGTGCCTGAGCAAAACAGAAACAGACCCCGCTAGCAAACCAATATCCAGCAAAGACATAGTTCGAATAAACTCTAGCCTTTTTTTCCGTGAAAACACCTGGTTACTTTTGCTTATTTGGGATTCTGCTGGATCATTTCCCTGACCTGTAATCCCAGCGAGTAATAGGCAAATCGATCGAAAGCTGGGCGGCTCAGTCTATTGAAGAGTCGCTCCCACAGCCTCTCTGGTGGTTTATGGTGAGCCTCGGAACCGGCAGAGCCGAAGGGACACCTGGAAATCGATTCAAAATACATCAACATCGCATCGAAGAAGCCACAGGCTTCGAAGGGAAACACGACGCCTTGCCACGTCAGGTGGGCGATCATGGTGATTCAAAGAGATGGCATGCATATTCGAGTAGGGATGGATAGAAAGCCTCCGAGTCACATTCTTTTCAGGCCTATGTATTTTTGTTATTCCTCCAACAAACAGGGCTTGATCATGTAAATCTGATGGCCCCCTTCCCATGCCGCCTGCCTGCCTGCCTGCCTGCCTGCCTGCCTGCCTGCCTGCCTGCCTGCCTGCCTGCCTGCCTGCCTGCCTGCCTGCCTGCCTGCCTGCCTGCCTGCCTGCCTGCCTGCCTGCCTGCCTGCCTGCCTGCCTGCCTGCCTGCCTGCCTGCCTGCCTGCCTGCCTGCCTGCCTGCCTGCGTGGGGGTGTGCTGACTGCGGGCGGGCGCGCGCGCGGACGCGCAGGCATGCCTGCGTGGGTGCTTGGGCGCGTGCGTGGGTAGGTAAATACGATAGGTGAATAAGTGAGTGGGTGAGGGTGGGTGGGTGGGTGTGGTGCGGCCGTTGCCGGTTCCTTTCCGTTTCTGGCCGCAACCGCTCTCGCCGCTCCTGGTTGTCGATCATGTAACGTGTGTCAAGGGTAAAGTTCAAAGTCACCTCGTAGCGCTCGGCTATCCTCAGCAGATACGCTAAATCACACGTCCGTCTTTGCCGGACCGGGGCAGTCTCTGCGGCCCCTTAGCTAACCAAAACCGAAGGGGTCTACCCTTGCACAATGTCAAGAAAATCAAAAGGTTGCCAGCAATGAATGATGACTGTTCCCTTCTAAGCTTCACCTTCCTGCTTTGATTGTGGTTGTGAGGTGCACCACATCTGTTCCCAAATCAGCTGCGAATACGGCTCTCAATCAACAATCCAGAGGTCTCGCAGAACTCTGGGATCCCTACCAGTGCTCAAACAGCATGCATCTCTGAGCCTACACCAAATTCGATCATGACAAGTCAATTCATGGTCAGGGCGTGTAGGGTATCTTGCTAGTGCTCAGTAGGGAATGACCCCTTCCGGGACTTGGGAATGAACCGTTTGCGATTCCCGAATAAAATAAATTATCTCGGGGATGGCTGTTGTAGGGTCATTCCACTGTTTCATTCTCTGCCTATCAAACCAGCAAGATATGCGCTATGAGCGTCACTGGGCTTACGATCCTTCCATAAGATGTGACAAACCTGGAGGCATCCCTCCATATCCTGTGAACTGCACCGGCATGTATGAAAAGGGTGCCCTTCATGGATGGTACACCTCCCTGGCAGTTTGTGGAATCGATCGATATCCCGCATACCACGCAGGTAGGGCTCTCTACCAAACCCAAAAAGGAACCAATCTCACCCATCAATAAGCTGTGAAGCAAACGGAGTTCTCACACGCGAACAACCCACAATCGCCGCTTGGCCAAAGTGCAACCTGTTGATGCAACCCTTTGCGAAAAAGAGCCATGGCTCACAACCAAGACAACACCTTTCCTTTTGTCGCAGTTGATTTGAACATCGAGACCCAACCAACCAAGAAACAATTCTGGGGCTCATTCTTTTCAACCATCGTTCTTTTCAAAATCAGCCGTTTTCCCTGGGTTTCCGGAGGTTCTCTAGAAAGAAGGACCCCTCGAAAGAATGGAATTGGAAGGTACCCTTAGAACAATGGAAAGAAGGGCCCTGGAATCTGTCTGAGCAAGAGTTGATGCTGAGATGCGCTACGGCCTCCTTCTCCCACTCTGGAACGCTCTTCACACACCTCGGCATGAGCATTGGCAGCTTTACTGGGCTGCCCTCAGATCCCCCGCTAAAAGTTTAACTTTTAGTGGGTGAAATGGAAACTACACTAAAAGGCTAAACAGCCAAGGGGATGGCTGGGAGCCACCAAGTTTATGCGCCCCCAAAACCAAATCGACAGTTTTGGTCCTACCACAGTTGTTCGAAATATCAGCCTTTCTATGAATCTCCGAGCTGGGTAGTAGAAAACCCTCCAACATGGGTTTAGGGTGTTGGCCTTAGGGACAATATTGTAGGCCCGCTGCAGGGCTCCAAACCATACCCTGTGGTGTACGCGAGCAAACCAAATAGGGGGCCTTAGCTTCAAAGGGAAGGTAGACCCACAGACTCACCCCTTGGGGCAAAAAAGAACACATATTTCCAGTAGTGATAAATTCCTTTTCAAAACCAACAAGGGAAAATAAAACATATTCTTAAGCAAATGGACGATAATATGTCATGTTGCTGACACGGATTTTAGTGTGAAATAGGACATGGACCCCTAAGAATGGCAACACAACACCCGGAGTGCATTCGCGAAGGGTCGGGGTCTAAGTTCGGGCTCGATTGAGCGTCCAGCGCAAGTGAGTCTGCAGTCTTGCTGTCAAAACACATATCATCAGGGTTCCACTTTCTGACAACCCCTGAGAAAAAAGACTGAAACCAGGAGTGGTTCATTATCACCAAAATGGGAACCTCCGGGATGAAGTCTATCTTGGGGCAGCGAAAAAGACGAACCAAACCATGCCATGGTCCCTTTCGACAATCGCCAAGCAAGAACCTCCAACCGAGAAAGAAATTGAAGGGGAGTTGCAAAAAAGACGAGCACGTGCGGGGCTCTCAAAATCAAAGTTGCCTTAGAAAGACACGGCAAACAAAGGGGTCCATAAGGGGAGCCACAACAAGGTCCATAGGCAAGGGAGCCCTACAAGTACCACTTTTGATCATCCCCCCCCACAAGCAGAGATCAACTCAAGACAACTCAGCGTTCGTCCGGGCCACTCCAGCCGCAACCCAGGCGAAACACACTGAATCGATCAATCGTTCTCGCGCATCTTTTCTTCCAAGCGGTGCCACTTCCGTGAAGTGTCCGACTTCTTACCGCTTAACGTCAGGAAGGCTCAGTTGCACGCCGCCGGCTTGGGGTCCTCCGAATCGCCGCCGGCTTGGGGTCCGAATCCTGCGCGCGACCATCCATTCGCTCTGTCACCCGGATCCGATCCGTGGCTAAGCAGATGTTTCTCTGACCCGCCTAGCCAACTCCTCCAAGATGATTTGGTTGCCCATCCACTCTGTGGCCTGGCTATCGTAGCTGATGGCCTCAATGTTCCACGATTTCAGTTCCGACCGCCTCTCGGGCGTCACATCGTTCAAAATAGCGTAGTGTAGTGATCCAGCCCTCTTCTGGTTGCCCACACCACCGGCGCGTAGACTCATTCCAATGTGCAGGACGGTGTGACTCTGATACAAGCGATAGAGAAAACCCGAGTCTCTAAGCAGCTGATGGCGCACGGCATAATCCTGCTCAGTGAGGACAACAGAATCGGGTGCTGACAAGTCACCTTGCATCTTTAACAGCGGCACCCTTGAGATATTGTAGCTGCCTGCAACCTGGCTTTGAATCACCGATTCGAAGCCCAACTTGTTGTTGGAGGTGGGTACGTAGTGAGAATCAAGCAAGTTGTCCCAATTCCAAGAGACCACTGCAGCAAAAGGGAGCTTCAGAAAGGCTTGCAAGATGGGCTGCACTGCATCCGGGAAAGGCTTATCAAGGAACAGCATCTTCTGCATGATGCGACACATTCTCTCCTTGCCCAATGCCTCCGCAAGCTGGAACTGAAGTTGGTCCAACTCGTCATAGGATCCGCTTTCCTGGAACCGTGGAACCCGATCCGCTGTCTGCTGGAACCATGCAACACCCAACAGGAACAACCACTATTGCTCCCCGTGCAAAAAGTCAATCCCCTTTGTTCATTAGTGGGAAACACATGTTGATTAGTTATTCCCCTTGAATGGTAAAATCTAAAGATGCAAACCAAACACAACTAAGTTCTCTCGGTTGATTTTTGCTCCCCTGCTAAAGGTTTAACTTGTAGTGGTTTAATGGAAAACCCATTCGTTGGCAAAAAGTTAAAGTGTTCACATCCAAGAAACATATTTCCAGTAGTGATTGATTCCTTTTAACACCAACAGGGGCAAATAAGCAATATTCATTTCAGCAAATGGAAGAAACACCACTAAGCTCTGGCCATGATTCTGGCAAGCTTAGGCGAATCTGCTCAGAGGACGCCACCCTTTGCAGCAAGCCTTCGAAGCCCGGTAGGCCTGGCACGGCTGCGCGACCACCCGTGGATGTGCTTTGAAGGGAAAATCAAAGAGGAAGGGCGTTCAAACAGTAGTGCTGTTTGGTTAGTGTGGCATGTTTAAGTTTAAGGGTATCCTCTTTGGGGTTGGTGTTCAAGGGATACCAAGGAAGCAGGCTACTTGGATGTTCAACCCAGCGAAGTAGGTTCTTTCCCCATGGTTGTAAGGGAGCTAGCCCCAGTTGCCCCAATAGCGGTTCAAACCACGCACAGTTGCGCTTCTCAAATTGCTACGTTTAAGGGTATCCTTTCTGGGGGAGAACATAAATTTCAGGCAGCCCTTAGTTGGCTTGGATTGACGGTCTGGATTCGGACTGGAACCCCTGGTTCTTTTAGGAAAATGATGGGACATCTCACTTCCGATCGAGTGGATAGGCCCAAAAAAAGCAACCGCACTTTTCGTTTGCCACCAAAATGGTCCAACCCCACAAAGCATAAAGTCCATGAAACTCAGAACGTGCGGAAACGACCTGCAACCTCCAATCCAAGCCACTTGGAGGGAGGCTGAGAGTTGGATTGGGATTTGAAGCCCTGAGCAACTCGCCGGCCTGCAGGCTTCGATACGCCGGCGCCCAGCATGGCCACACATCGCCCGCGTGAAAGCGCCCTCACCAGGCCCTCGGGAATCTCCTCGAGTGAACCGACTCAGCTTCCCCTTCTTTGGTTGCGCGGTGAGTGCTTTGGGGTGTACAAGAAACAGGGGTAATCCCCAAACCACCAATCCTGACCACCAACTAGAGATTGCCTGAACTTTGGCTTGGTGAGGGGTGTGTTTCTTGTTTTGTGTTGTTTATTTATTTGGAGCGGTTTGGTGGTCTGGGGTGTATAAGAACCACCCCAAGCCAGCAATCTAAACCACTGAGGAATTGAGCAACTGAACAACTGAAGTCTTTGCAAGTGCAAAAAAGGCGTCTTGTTTACAACGCAGAACAACCTAAGCTTCTGCAAATACACCACACCAATGTTTCGCGCAGTAAACAAGTTGACCTTTCTTCCTTTGCACCAAACATTCCCTTGGGCAAGAAATCGCCAGCTTGTAGATGGAACGTCTAGTTCAAAGACTAGGTCCTCCAGTGGAGAGGATCGAATAAGGGTACCAACTTTCTTTCTGTAGTCTATTTTAGTAGGGGAACCCTCCCAACCCAAAAAAAAGGTGAGAAAGGGCACCTATTGCCGGGGGACCTAGAAGAGAATCCCTGGGTGCATTCCCACATTCCCTACTGTGCACCACGCAAGCTCTTGTTCAACTCACTTAGTAGGTTATCACCTTAATACATGGGGACCTAGAAGAGCTCCACCAAATCTCAAATTCTGCCAAAGGCCGGCCACGTCGCGTCCACGTGGCCCAGACTCCTCGCCTCCCGCCAGGTGCACGTGGCGCTTCTCCGGGCGTCCGAGACTTCGGATCGGGCGTAGACGAGGCGAGTGGCCGCCAAGGCAAGGACTCCGCCAGTGGCGATGCCGACGTGCCGCATGGTCAAGTCACAAGGAACTGGCGTTCCTGTAGGGAGTAGAGAATCAAACCATAGCTGCTCTTTTTCTCTTGTTGTGTGGTAAAATAAATACCCCCTGCTCACTTTGCTCGTCCCTAAGACCCAGCCAAAAACTGGATCTCCATGAGTAGAAAAACACGATGCTTGACTTCAAGGCTCGCAACCCGAGAACGCTTGGGCCAGTCGAGCGCGAGAAATCGTGTGCACCTTGCCACTGAGCAAAGGGAAATCGTGTGCAGCAGGCACAAGAAGGCGTTGCGTACCAAAGAACGTGACGGCAGTTGGAACCGAATTTCCATTACAGGTTGAACTGGAGCACATTCATATCAAGCCAAGTGCAGTACGTTAAGATCGTGTTGTCCTGAAAAGGTCGCCTAGGTCCAAGCGCACCGGTCAACCATTAATTGAAACTGTTTTATCAGGATGATTGAACACAATGACCACAATCCGTTGTATCATCTCGGAAAAATGATCTCACTCTCGGCGGGCTGCAGCAATGTCTGTGTTGCAGCAGTGTCTTTTGGCCATGCCAAGAAAACCAAACCTAAAGTCCTCCGTCTGATTAAACTCACCATCTGGGAGGGCCCTTTTGGATATTGTCGACAGAATGCCTGTTGGATCTATATTTCCTCGCGCATTGCAACTCTCTCAAAGTTCTCCGGTTTGCACAAAGCGATGTCATGCTTTCCTGTCCTGTGCGACCTTCAAGTTAGCCGTTTTTTGGTTTATCTCCAAGGTCACTCGGGCTCCCGAATTCTAAGGCAGACCTATGTAATTATATTCCACTTGGATGGGCTGGCAGGCATTGCAAACTAGCCCCAATCACCAGAGTATCCTGGAGGGTAGCAGCAAGCAGAAAGCAAAGGTGCAGATGCAACGCAGCATCAAAGCACACGAGAAGAGAAGTTCTGCGTGGAGAAGTTCCGCCACTCTCCGCGCATTTTGGGCGGAGGCAGGACTCGCTGGCGAGTCCCAAAGTCTTACTGGAGGCCGACGGCCGGGGCCGGAAGCAAGGCCCGAGACACGAAACAAAAAGGAGCAAGTTTACGACCCAGGCCGTGAAACCGGGGGAAAAAAAACACAAAAAACTGCTCACTCAATTGCTTGGTGGAGTGTGCCAAATGAGGGAAACTAACATAGCCAGAGGTAATGTGAATTCAAACAAGAAACACGGGTTCCTTTTTACCGTAATCTGGAGCAATATGCAGTTCTATATTGGTGCGTTGCATGAATAAAAGGCACTTGATGTATCAACTTCCGCACAGGGTGATTCTCTCTCTCTCTCGCTCTCTCTCTCCACCAAATAACCACCAACCCACCGCCACCACCGCCACCGCCACAGCCATGGCCGCCGCCACAAACATGGGGGGATGCCCCTATGATTGCTTGGCATAGTATTCCTGCCAAAGCAACAAAACAGCGACGGGGTTGTCAGCTTTTGGAGACGCCTTGCGGAGTAAGCTTCGCGCGGTGAGAAGCCAAAAGTTGTGGACGTCCTTGCTAAGGCTGGTGTTCAAGCCTGAAACCATACTGCTTTCGTCACTCAACTAGGTGAAGCTTCTTCCGTTGCCCACTTGCCATCCACGGCCTCTTTTGTTCAACCCACTTCGCAAGTAGGCAATATCATTATCATAGTATCTTTGCCCCAGCTATCATCATGCCTCTCGCCTACTCTGGCGTGGGCTGAACATCCAAGAAACTGGTCTGTCCTCAGATCCCCTGCTAAAAGTTTATAACTGTTCGTGGGTTAAACATACTGCCCACTAAACCATCCTGAAAGCCCAAAAGCCTACAAACCAAATCAACCAGACGGCTCAAAAACACCAAACTCCAAGACACCCCGGGCTTCGGAGCCTGAGGCTCGGGCATGTCCAGCTCATCCCGCTCGCGGATACGCAGCTTGTTGCTCCAGGCGTGCAGCAGGTTGGAGAGCTTCATCAGGTGAGCCTCCCGCGCGACCCGAACGACCAACGACTCAACGTGGCTCGGCGTGGCTCGGAACCAGAGCAACCACGTGGGTGTTTGTGTGTGTGTGTGTGTGTGTGTGTGTGTGTGTTTGTTTGTCTGTTTTGTTTGAGTTGGTACCCCTTTTGGGTGGTTTTAAAGGGAAGCCAAAGGCAAACACATCATTTTTTGGGGGTCCAAATCCTAGAACAAGAAAGACATTGACATGATCATAGACTATGCTAAGGCTAGTAATCGGCCTTTTGGGTCAGATTGCTAAAAGACAGCTGCAAAAAATGGGACATGGCCGCAACAAATGGGGGTTGATCAAAAGGTCCTTTAAATGGGATGACCATTGGGGGAAACCACCAAACAAATGATGTTTCCCACATGGGAAAAGCATTCGGGGGCTCTACATGGAATATTGATCACCCCCCAAATGGCTTGACTCCTTTTGCGCTCCAACCAAAAGCCATCCAAAAGCTTCCCTTTGTTCGGACTCTCCCACCTGCTGGCTGGCTGAACCAGGTGAGTAGTCTAGAGGCCGATTGCTTTTTTGCAACAACCAGCAAATCGTTTTCCATGGGTTTCCTGAAGTTTTTGAGAAAGAATCCCTGGAAAGAATGGAATTGGAAGGTAGCCCTAGAAGTAGTGGGTAAACAAAGTCAAGTTAGGGATTGGTACAGACTTCGCTTGTGGCACTTCTGCGCCTCTTCCAAGCAGCGAGTCTTAAACCGGTGCAAAACAGAATGGCCTGGTTGCTGGTTGGCTGGCGTCCGAGGGCAAGCTTGTGTCAGAGACTAAGGCCTCATTGGAAGGGAAGCAGAAGGCCCTTTCTTTGGGAGGTTTGCAGGGTTGGGCCCCTTTGTGTTTAATCATGTAATCATGTTTAAACAGGTCGGCCCAACCCTGGTAACCTCCAGGAAAGGCACAGTCCTTCCACCCGGAGGCTGGAACCTCTGCAAGCACTAAGGTAGAGCCACAAATCAGCAGCTCGCCAACATGAAGGTTATTTTTAAGGGTACCTATTTCAGCGGAAACTAGCATCAGTGCAATCGCCATTGCATGTCGTCGAAGAAACAAACACCCTTTCCCACTTGCACAGCTGTGATGCAGCTCATTGAGTAAAAATCACCAGGGGGCTCCTGTGGAATTCCCCCTTGACTGAGTCAAAGCTTTGCTTGAATCCTAGGTCAATGCCGTAAGGAATTTGTTGCGCCCATATGTATGCGCCTTCTCTTGTGCGTGCTTCATGCTAGAACCTACTTGCAAACACTTGTAGTGTCCTCTCAACCGCAACCAGAACATGACTAGTGTTTGCCAACCATCCTGGACGGGAGAAAATGTTGTTTTGGCGCGGGGTTTGCCCAACATGTACACAGCACACGAAATCCATCATGAACCCACAAAAGGGTGTCCCATGCGGGAACTCATCTAAAGCGGATGCTCTTCACTCTCCGTGCTGGATTCTCGAATGGTTTTTTCTAGATGCCCTGCCATTCAGTAGTATGGAACCTCAATAGGGTATTCTGAAGACAACCGTTGCTCCTCTAACCATTTGCTGATGGTTTCACGCTAGTGGACACTCAAAGGCTTGAAGGATACATCCAAACGCCTGCATTACAAGCACTCGGATCCTCCTGTCTCAGCGACGTTTCGCTCGGGACCCGGAACAAAGGCATCTCGCCTGAGACATGCTCACGAAGCTCTGATTGCGACAGAAGTGTCGGCAAAGCATGGCCTAGGTCAAACATCCGCAGCTCACGTGCATGTATTCTCTGAGCAAGGAGCTCAAACCTCCGCCATGGAGAAGCTGCTGTTTGGATGACCCCTTTTTTGGATGGGAGAAGTTTGGCAGAGTGAGGTCACGAGTTGCCCTTCAACCCTCAGCCCTGTTGATGTAAGGGTTTCTGCCCCAAAAAACAAGATTTCAATGGTGCCTCTGCTTCTGAGCCAACGATTACTACGGCGGATATGCCTTAAATATTGCAAGTCGACCATCAAGGAAACGATGTTTTCTGCTGCAATTCACCGGGGCTTTGAGGTTGAAAGCCGTTGCTGCACGCAAAGCATATTCCGGCAATCAACCAACTCGGTCATGGCTGAGACGGGTTTTGCCCATGTCCCCAACTCCAAATGCACCATGTCGCTGTGGGTCAAAAACAGGTACCCCAAATTGAGCCTGGTACATGGAAACAAGCACTGAACCTGCGGTTTTTATAGTGGTTGAACTTTGACCCACACACTTTTTTAGGAGACTCCCCCAAAACTGGTTGGTTTGCTTTTGGTTTCCTTTTAAAAACCAACCAAAAAGGGTACCCTGAAAAAAGAGCTGTGGGTGAAAAATCGGTGCCCCAATAGGTGCCCCAAATTGGGCCTTGGTAAAAGGACTAACACCTGCAGTCCTTCTCCTGGTGGTGGACTTTTTACCCATACCCATCTTGCTGGTTCTCAGCAGGGAATGAGGGAATGACTCTTACAAACCATCCCATACGGTTTCCGTGAAGGGGATCCCCAAGACCGGTTCATTCCCAAAACCCGGGCTCGGTCATTCCCTGCCTATCGCACCAGCAAGCCATGTGATCAATAATCCTTCTCACGGGAATCCCTAGGTTCATTCCCAAAAACCCCGGCTCAGTCATTCCCTGAGCCATGCATGCAATAAACAAGTCACCAAACGCAAATCAACGCTTTGCGGGCCGAAGGGCCCCCAAGATGTCAGGGCCCAAGGTGTCCTCGATGGTGCTCACGTCCCGCATGTAGGTCAGCAGCTCCTGGCAACCCGAGTAAGCGAAGCACTGGAGAGAAATTGTGGGGTGGCCAACTGGAAAACGTGGCCTCAGTTCCTGAGTGGGGCCAGAAGAAAGTCCGGTTTACCACTAAAATGGTCCAAGCCCAAAAAACTTGAAGTCCATGAACTTGGGGAGCGTGTTGCAGGGGGAACAAGTTGGAAACCCTGTCATTTGCCCCAATTGTTCGGCGTAATGTGGTTGGATCTGGTTGGCTGTTTTGGAATATTTAGGGAATCCACTGCAAAAACTAAGAGTGGTATGCTTCAACGTTTCGTAGGTTGCCCATGCTGATTGAGGTGCATGTTCTTGTGAAATACCCTTGCCCAGCATCGGGTGAAATTGTTGTTTCAGCGTCTATCAACCACTGCGGTCGATTCATCCTCGATGCGCATACCCTCTCCGGTTGGTTGAGCACGTTGTCTCTACCCGTAGTATCTAGCGATAAGCAAGTGTCAACTGGGGTAAACATAGTGGCTCCATTTGTGTTTTCCCTTTGAACCAATCCGTTACCCCCGGCAAAACAAAACAAGTGCACGGACCTCTTTTGGAAGACCACACCTAGGAAATCACATGGGCTCGTTGTTGTTTGGTAATTGCCCCTCTTTTCAGAGATGTGTGTTTATTCAAGGGACACCAACAGGACAACCGCCCTTTTTGAGGCTCCCCTATCTTAAGACCCACCCACAAAACCGCAAAGAATCCGGCTCCTCCTTCACGTACCGTGCGGCAGAGATCAACGCTTTCCTAGGCACCAGGTGTCAAAAAGGGGCCACCGGATGGTGTTTCACCGACCTGAAAAACTGGGCTGTCCTCAGATTTTCCACCAGAAGCTCAACTTTTAGTGGGCTAACTGGAAAACCCCACTAGTGCACTAAAAGCTAAAAAGCTAAGGAACTGGATGGCTGGGAGCCACCAAGAAGAGGTGGCCAATGCACCCGGAAAAAAACCTGGAGGTTGCAAGAACCTATCTCGAAAAAAACGAAAAAAAAAAAACAGAAAAACAAAAAACATTCTTCAGGCTCTAGATCCTTTCGAATCTGTACGGATTCCTTCAACCAGACCGAGGTACCGTGAAATGGGTCTTGGGGTTTGGGAAATAGACTTGGGAAAGCCCACCGGAAAACATCCTGCAGTACCCTGGATGGACGACATCCATTTCGCACCACCTAAAACACCATGGCTGAGAGCTGGAACCATTGCTTGTTGGTATGGGGTTCTTTGGCGGTGTAGGAGTTGCTTCCATCCACAACAGCAATGTCCCAATGGGATATTTTCAGGATGTGTCCCAGTGTGATTTGCAGAGGAAATGCTACTTGGAGATAAGGACAAGTGCATTCCATGTTACTTTTTCAGAGTAGCAGTACGCCGGACGTGCAATATCTAGGCTTGAATCCAACCAAACCAAGCCACCAATCAGCAAAATGATTCCCGCATCTCCCGCAAATCGGTTGAGCGAAAATACGTCAACTTCCCCGTGTGACACCATGTAAAAGATGTCCCAAACACAGAGAAGCGGTCCGAGCCTTGTCCAGCCTGATGTGGCTGTGGACAATTTGGTGTTGCTCCCCTTACGGGACATTGGACGACTTAGAGCCCTGAGATTGTTTTGACAAACAATTTGAGAGCGCCTGAGGTTTTGCCCAAGCAAAAAAAAAGCACTTTCAAAGTACATATTTCGCACTCAGGGGACATGGAACTCATCCGTGACCGAGTCATGATGTGCACCCCAGCCGGCCTCCGAAACAAGATACAGCCAAATATAAATATGAGGTAAGGCTACAAAAAAGGCTGGGACATGGTAGTCCATGGACTCTGATGAAGCCTAAGCAACCAGCCGTACGTCCCTGATTCCAAGGCTCGGGACTGCCGATTCCTTGCTTCAAAAGTGCCACTGGTGCAGCGATTTCACTTTTGTTAAAACAACGAAAAGGGGCAATTTTTATGTGCTCGTCGTCTGAAATCAGTTGCCGTTCGAACCAAGGCATGATCAAACGGACCTGTACAAAGCAACATTTATGGGGGTCACTGGATTTCCCCTTCAGGGTTGATCATTGTACTGGCGGGCTCCCTTTTAGCATTGCCACTTTTGGAGGTCCCAAAAAATGGAAACTGAGGAACCCCTGACTTACCAGTTCACCTCAAGTGAGACCCAGGCAACTTTTCAAGTGGAGAGTTGCGCTTCCGAAAGTGCAAGGCTGGACGTCAATGGTGACACGCGCCCACTGGTCAAACAATCAGGAGTATTCTTCTGAGGAGAGTATTCAGCTTGGCTCTCGGTGAGGGGTTTGGGAACGAACCTGATAATTTTTAGCGAATGAAACTGTGAGGGATGGTTTATAGATGTCCCTTACTGAGAGCTAGCAAGTCAGAGAAAGTCCATTTGAAACGGACTCACACCCAAGCATCAACGTCGCCTTTGCATTGCAAGTTCTGACCGGACGTGCTCGAAAAGAGAACATTCTGCCACGCATTCAGTGCAACGAGTGTGGACGAAGGTCTTCCTCAGTGGAATTCTGCCTTCCACATATTATCAGCTTCAAAAAAAAAAAACGAACACCACCAAACATGATGCCAGTCAAAGGAGCTCCACCGACATCCCGTACCCTTTGGGAAGCTCTCGAGCACTTCTGGAAGGGGCTCCCCGAGTGAGGGCTCTCGGGGAGCGCTCGTGCCTTGTCCACCGGGTCTTCTTTGCAAGCTTTGGGGTTCCGTGTTCATTTCTAGAAGTACGTGGGAGCTTCTTCTATTGATGGTGGACCCTCTTTTGGTTGGTATTCAAGGGACATCAAAAGGAACCAGCAATTCTACAGGCGTCACTGGACATCGACTGGTGGCTTGCGAATTAAAACGATCGCCACCTCTCGAGGCTAAAACAAGTTGGAAACGGAGGAAACCAGCACCTTAGGTTCACCAATTCCCACTTGAGTCACAATCAAAACCCGGTACAAAAAATGGTCGACCCAGAACCATGTAAAGAACTAAGAAGGCGGATATCCGCAGCTATTTATGGCTGGGATCGTCCCTTACTAACCTTCACTTACCCGGGTTTTGATTGTTTGCTCACTTTGGACCAATTTTCCTGAGAACACTTTCAAATTGTTGGACCAGCTGGTCCATTTTTTTTGCATTGAAACATTCCAAAAGCCATTTTCGAATTTTGGACCAGTTTGTCCATGTCTTTTGCTTTGAAACAAATTTACGGAGCCAAGCGTCTCCTTGGGATCAATGGAGTTGTTGAGCATCTGATCCAGGAAGTCGGCGACGCACTCCTCACGGAGGGGGGAGTTCTTTGGGCAACTCAGCTTCCCTAGGTCCTCCAGTAGAGAGGTTTGAATAAGTTGGTACGAACGCTTTTCCCCCCCCCGGGTTGTCTATTTTAGTAGTAGGGGAACCCTCCCCCAAAAAAGGGGAGAGAAAGGCATTTTGTTCGGCTGTCTATTTTAGTAGGGGAACCCTCCCCCAAAAAAGAAATGGAAAAAGGGCACTACTGGGGGACCTAGTTCCAACTTTTTGCTTTGGGGGTTCTGACCAGCTTTTGGGAATGAAACTCAAAGTTCACCCAAAGTTCATGTCAATATTCAAAATCAGACAGTTAATGCACATTGGATTTCAACAAAAACACAACTTCCAAAATTGAACACACCTGCAATATCACGCAACGTTTCAGTTAGCCAACACCTGAGACATTGTCCACATTCATAAACATGCTGCAGAACCAGCACACTTTCAAAAGTCTTATTGTAGGTATCATGTTAATTAAAATTAATTATGTATATTTGGCAAGGGGTTCAAGTCGCCAACCAAGCTGAATCACCAATTAAGGATGACCTCAGTTTTCCCTGAAGTGGGAGACTTGGTCAGCATATCCTGATGCTTCCATGGTTGACTTGGGAGAGAGATGAAGGACTCACTGTTAAATCGGAATCCGCGTGGGCCTTCAGTGGGAGTGCTTGGTGCCATTCAGAACTTGGGCAATCCGGATAGGTCCAAGCATCCACTTCACAGCTGGATCCATTGAATTCCTTTTGGGCCATAAGGTTTCAGGTTCAAGTTTTGACCTCGGAATTAGAAACACACTGCTTTGGAATCATATTGCACATCTGGAATTGGTGGTATTTCTTCATTGCGGGCCCCCGAAAACAAACCCGAGCAAATACGCACGAGGCTACAACCATTCCCCCACCGCCAACAACGCCAAAACGCGCCATCCCTCGAGAATCTTGCTGCCAAAGAATCCAGGTTTGCCGCGATTTGGGGATCGTCCGGCTTGTAGTCCGCCGACGTCTTCTTGAGAAAGTAATGCGGCACCTCGGATGCCGCACTGAAAAAGTTGGATATTGATCCACTGGTCATCAAACAGTACTTGGGGGACCAAAAAGAGCACCTCAACACGGGGCAAGAGAAATACTGTGGATGGACGAAATCCGTTTTGCACCACCCAAGAAACCCTGGATTGGTGACTCCCCTATAAATGCCAATAAACAATGGGTTTTCCAATGGTTTCATTTCGTGGTGCGAACGGATTTCGTCCATCCACAGTAGCGCATCCCTCATTGTTTTTTGAAGCACAAGTTCTCTCTGTCGCGCTGCGAGCTTTCGCAGGTCTTCCCATCACGTCCCATTGCGCCTTGAGAGCCAGGGGAAGGATCTTGCCGTCCTGTCGCTTCCTCATGTCTCTAAACGTCATACCAAAAGGCCACCTCACTTTGGCAACCGAAAGGTTCTGCCCCTGGGAAAAATGAATTCTGTCCAGTGATCAATTCCCTTAAACACCAACAGGGGAAATGAAACGTATTCAATTTAGCAAATGGAAGTACTCTGCTAAGAAACGTGAGAAAACAGAGATGTGGGAAGCAACTCGCCCGGAGCATTCCAGACCAATTAATCCATTTGGATGCCCCGATGTCTTCGGTGTTTGTGGTGTCCTCATTGCATGGCAAATTGCTCGGAAGGGAAACCGGACATGGGCAACCCCCAAAGGCAACCTTATCTTGGTGCGCTTGGCCCCCATAGCGTGTTAGACTTCAGGCGACAAGAGGTGCTTTCACCAAGGTAATGGGAACCCCGGATGAAGAACCGCCTGGTTGATTGATGTGGGGATGTCCCTTTGAGCGAGAATCCGGATCACTCTTGTGAGTGACGCCGGACGGGTTTATTCATCGGTTACACATGCATGCTTGCCTGCCGAAAACCCATCTGTTTCAAAATTCTCCTGGTCATATCCTTTGAATTAAGCTCATCGGGTAGATATATTCCGCGACACAATCAATTGTAGGTTGCGCTAAGTATCACGCCATCACTAGCTTACTATCAGCTTCCCAAGCAGGTAGGTGCCCAGCTAGGTAAATCAAACAAACGCCCGATGTATTCAACCTGCACCACCTGTGTGTGTGTGTGCGCGTGCCTGTTTTCACCTGATATTGGGGAGCCCTTCCAACAACCAGTCTCAGCTTAAAAACTCGAGGCAGGTGGGCGTCTCCTTTTCAGCGCCAGGCTACCCAGTCCATTGACACAGCGCTCAATACTCATCGTGCCCCCTTCATGGGAATTTGGTGACTGTACCCAATGTCATTCCCTTAGCAACAGACGGTAACTATTGACGTTGCTCACATGCCAAGGCGACATCAAACAGAGAACCTGTTGAAATCCACAGCGAGTCTGGCCGAAGGAATCACTCTCATAGATTGAGAGAAGAAAGGCAACGGGTCCCGGCTTCGGGAAGTGGCAGCTAGATGATCGTGTTTCAAATACCCGTGAACGTTCTAATTGAGCAGCGCCCAAAACCCATTGACTTTTGCTTCTACGAACTACCAACAGGGTAATAATGGTTTATGTGGGCCTTGATACAATCTGAAAAACGGATAGCACCACCTACTCCACACATTCACAAGCGAGATCGAAGCCGCCGCCAAAGAGTGAACCACTTACTAGGGCGCTCAATTGGGGATCCAGTATTGAGTCATTTACTCACTTCCTGAGTGGATAGCCCAAAAAAGCAACCAACCTTTTTGTTTACCACGAACATGGTCCAAACCCACAAAGTATAAAGTCCATGAACTCAGGAAGTGGGTTTAGAAGGGGATCTTTGCGACCGCCCTTTTTGACGCTCCAACCATGGCACAGCATAGCGCGAGGCATCGCGCATCACCGGCCCGAGGATGCCGTGGCAAAAGAGACCTCAGCCGTTGATGCTCGGTGCACGGCGTCCAGAGACATCTGCAGTGCCACAAGGGCCTGGGGCTAGAGGGTACTAGACTGTTACTAGACCATACTGACCCATGAGAACAACATGTTGGGTTGACGGGGGGCTGCACGTGCCGATCCTCAGCTTGCGGCTGTCGAGGGGGCGGGAAGGGGGGATGGAAAGAACACGGGTCTTTCCACCATGTCAAGGCCAACCCATGTTTCAAACTAGTACCAACTAGTCGATCCCGAGCCCCCAGCCTTACACGCCATGCGCCTTCCCTGCTATCTGAGCACTCTACGCGACTGCGCAGTCCCATTTGCTTTATTTGACACGCTGCCGCTTTGCCGCAAGTGGTTTTAGACACCTGGTGCCTACGAGGGCTTGGGGTCTTCTTGCGTTTGGAGGAACTACCTTCTTGTTTGCCTTGGCCCCAAGGGGGCCAAGCTCGTAAAGGGAATCTTCGCTTATCGCAAATGCGCTGCCAAAAATAATCTTTTGATCCCAAAAAGCATGACCAGTCTGTGTTGAGACTAGCCTCACAGCCCAGCCCAACCAGCAACACACAACAAGGCCCAGCCCAGCCCGCCCAGCCCGCGCCAACCAGCAGCAGTCCGGCTAACCAGCAACGCACCCCAGGCCCAGCCCAACCAGCAACCTCCCAACCAGCAACAACCCAAGCAAGGCTCATCCCAGCCCGCCCAGCCCAGGCCCTCCACCAACCAACCCATGCCTCGGTCGGGGGCAGCCAGAGCCTGTCCATGCCTGAGTCGCCACTTGACCAGCTCTGCTGCTTGCAGTCGAACCACAGACGCTGCGCACTCGGCTGGCCGAGGCGGGCAACGCGCAGCGTTTACAATTAAACTGCTGCGCCTTGCAGCACCGCGTATTCGATTCTCATACGCGAAGTTGGACATTTGCAGACTTTCCTGTGATCCCACAGAAGCCACGATTTACTGCTATTCGCATAGGATTTGCACAACTCCCAACCCATGTTCAAGAGCGACCGTGATTCGGTCCGGGCAACCCCCCGGCAACCCAACATGTTGGTAGCGGTCTGAACGATTAGCATGGGGTTAGAGGGTTACTGGAAACCTGTTGAACCATACTAGCAGCAAAATGTTAGTAATTGGTTTAGCCCGCTATACCGCTACAACTAAAGTGACACACTTGCTTGGTATCCTCCCCGGGGTCTGGATCTGAGTTTCCTCAAACTGGGGGGAATTGTGGTTTTCCCAGCTGAGAACCAGCAAGTGTCTAACCAAACTAAGCAAGATTTGGAAAACACGGATGGGTTTCCCTGGTAAATGGATGGCATAAAACCAACACCAGCGGAACCCATCTATTTCTCACTAAACTCACCGAGGCTTCAAGGCCGGGATGCGCAGCACCGGCTGGTAGGGTCGGAGATCCTTGTCGATGTCCACAAAGCCTTCCGCCTCCTTCCAGCGCCTTCCGCTGCAAACCGAGTGGAATGGGAGAAAGGGGAAAGATGATCGACCCCCTTGCAGCGAAGGATTCCTGTTTGAGGGGATCGCCAATTTTCAAAGACTCAAAAATGTACCCAAAATGGCACCTTGGCACATGGAACAAAGACTAAGACATACGCAACCCCAGCGGTTGAATTTTGAGCCACACCCACCTTTCTCCCATCAGGGGGGTCTTTTGCCACCTCTTGCCACAGCCAGGTCAGAAAAGAAGGAATTTGCAAGAAAAGGAAGAAAGGGACTTATTGATGATGGTTCTTCATTGCCATTCTATTCCTTTTACATTTGGATTCTTACCAATAAAGGGAAGAAGGGGAGGAAAAACAGAAAGGGAAGAAAGGGAAGAAGGGGAAGAAAGGAAAGAAAGGAAGAAGGCATGGAGGGAAGGAGAGAAAGAGAGAGAGAGGCAAACTCAGATAGCTCTGATTCCATTAAATCGGGAAGAAGCTTCTATACAAGAATCAAAAGGCGCTCGCCTTTTGTCATGCCTCGTTCCTTAAAAGTAGCAATTCAGATGTTTAAGTCAAGTTGTCAAGACTCCGAGGCGGACCACTCCATGTCTCACTTTGACATACCCCCCGCAAACAGTCAAAAAACAAAAAACACCCCCAGAAATAAGGGCTCGAGTTTTGGTTCAAACAAACACCGACCCCCCCCCCCCGCCCCCTATTTTGACACCCTGCCCCCCTCTCCCCCTTCCCCCCCCCCTTCTCCCCCCCCTCTCCCGCCCCCCCCCCCCTTCTCCCGCCCCCTCTGCCCGCGCCAAACGGGGCCACTTTGGGCCGACCAAAAAAGCTCCGACCAACAAGGATCGAGGCGCTGGGATGCCAGTGCCACGTGATGCAGCACCAGCCGCACGAAGTTGGGGAGCCGCATCTTGCGGATGATCTTCAGAAAGCCTGCGGCTGGCGCCCCTCAAAGCGACCCACGGTTTTGGGTTGGTATACATGGCCATGGGTCAAAACCCCGGTGACTCCCAATCCCCACTAAAATAGGTTCTAAAATGTGTGGTGCACCTACCCCAAAATAGGATCCCATTGGTTTTGACCCACAGCCACATCTCTTGGCCCACAAACACAGGTGTAATCGGATTGACAAGAGGGATCCAGGAAGCCTACGGATTGTGACACGTGGGTGCAGTACATTGGGTGACCCATAGGGACGCTTTTTGGTTGGTTCTCTTGGCCCGGTACTGTACATTGGGTGAGCCATAGGGCTTGCCCTGTGGCTGAAACCCCCTTTATTGGCACCTGTCTATCAGCTTCCCTCTGATTTGTGGTTTGGAACCCCTGGTGGTTTGGGGTTCCATTCCCCGGTCGGTTTGTCTCTCTTGGCCCAAAAAATACAGGGTACCGGTACATAGGGGGTACCTCTGCCGGGTTTGGATCTTGACAAAGCCAAGGGTTCAAATCCCCAAAGACTACGGATTGGGTCAAAAAGCTACACAATAAAGCAAACAACCAGTGTGGCAGAACTTGTTGGTTCAGAACTTCATATGGCTGTGGCTCAAAAAGTGGTACCAAAATGCCACCTTGGTAAATGGGACCAAAGACAAACACCTGCGTAACCAGAGCTCTTTGCTTTTGAGCCACACCCCTGGAATTCGGATTCTGCTTCATATTCACTTTGCCCTGGTATTTTTACACATGTTTTGCGCAGGAGACGTGCCAAACACAAAAAAACAAAACGGGAGGCAAGGAGCAGCAGAAACGGTCGGGGGTGCCGACAGCTCACCTTTCGGGCTCACCAAAATGGATCAGAAGCTCGGCTTGGGGCAGATTTCGGCGCTCGGCTTTGGATGAAACCCGAGTTGAATACCGGGATAAACTACCACAGGACTTGGTCCATCCATGGGGGCTGAATAATTGGAATGGGGGGCCGGGGTACCGTGTGATCTAAGTGGGTGGCGATTGGGCACCCGCATTGTGCAGGTTTTGCTGCTTGAGAAGTGGGTCACATAGACAGCCCCTGCGAACTTGCTCGTCGGGAGCGGGGGGGGGGGGTACGGGGGGTTGCGGTACCATTAAAGTAAATTAAGCCGCGACCTTTTGAACATGATATTAGTGCTCCGTCTATTGCCTTGCACATGTTCAAGAAACTTCAAGGGAAACCGCCACGAAACAAAAAACACAATTTGTTTTGGTCCAATTGTGTGGCAAGGTTTGGCAAAACTTGTTACAGACGCAACCACTGGTGGTGCCCTTTGAAGGAAGCCCCCAAAGGAGCTTGCCTGAACAACAAGCTGTTTCAATGCTTAGGGTGTTGCATGCCCCTACTTTACCCTCCTCAGCCTTCCCCCCCCCCCCCCGGTGACCTTTTTCCTCATGTATGCGTATGATCCTGGTCCATATGTAGTACAACATGTAAACATATCTCAACAAAGAACCCGGTCAAGTGGGGGTGGGTACTTGGATGTACCATGGTTCCAAGGTTTTACGGGAACCGTGCAACCAAAGTTTGAAATTTGCTGTTCTTTCACCCGTCCTATGAATAGGAGGGTGTTGCCTCCAAAAGTAATGAATCCCCACTAACAAGGGGATTCATCAGCCATGCTTACGTGGATTGAAAAGCCAGTTCCCAGACCGGGTCCAAGCGCCTGTTGAAACGAACATGTTAAACATGCAGATGATAGGTGTCTTTATTTGAGGGTACGCTTCTTGCTTGCTTGAACAGGTTTTTACGGTTCCTTTGTCACGGGGGTCGGGGTCTTGTTGAGCACTGGACTTTGGTGAGCAAACCCAAAGGTCGAAGGAGCTTGGCTGTGTGTCTTTCACATTTTCGTGTTTTCCGAATCACCTTTCTCAGGTGCCCTCAAAAAAATGAAAGACATACCGGTGGTTCAAGCTGCCAAAAACGGGTTGGCTGGAACAATTAGATTCAGCCACTTGATGGGAGATTCAATTGAGTCGATGTGAGGAAAGAGGAGAGCGCCACCTTTGGCTTGCTCCATGCCATCGCGTGCTGCTATTTTCCGCCCCCGGCGCCCGAGCTGCTGGATATTCTGGAGCAGGACGCCGTTCGGATTTCTAGGGGTTGATTCCTTTTCCATTCTTTTCAGCCATTGTTCTTGTCAACCACCAGCCATTTCTCCAAGGCTTTTTGGTGGTTTTCTAGAAAGAAGGATCCCTGAAAAGAATGGGGAAGCTACCCCTACAAAAATTGCTTCCTTGGCCAACTCCCATCTTCCACTCCTCCGCGGCCAATTTGGTGGCAAAACGGCCACTTCTTTACCGCTTGTCAGACTGGGGCTCTGGTCCGTGAAGTCAACCGCCCCGTGAGGGTTCGAACAACTTAGTGCAACCCCAGCCCCTCTTTGTACATGTGCTGTTCTTCTATGGAATTGTGCTGCCAAAAGTTCCACGCCCATGTGCCATCAAACTATCTTGGCTGTACACAAAGGCTCAGTCTGGGTTGTCATGAACCGCCTGGACAGGTCTTCTGTCCAATGTTCTCGTACGGTTTTACGGCATCTTGTGCGGGAACGAGTGGAAGGACCATAGGTAACCTTCTGGGAGAAAAAAGGACGGGTTTCCCTGGTAAGGATGGCAAAAATAAATCTATCGACTTTCATGGGGGCCTAGGAACCTAGGAACCTAGTTCATACCCCCCACTGAAAAGTGGTTTTCATGCGGGGAGTGCTATTTAGGACAAATCCTCCACTTTTTTGTGGGAGTGGGATGGGGTGGGATGGGAGCTCCGGAAGAAGGCAGTGACCCAGACCTATCTCTGAATAGTGCCTGCCTCCACAAGTTGCAAAGAACTGGGGTTCCCCAGAAGATACAGAGCAAAATCACAAGTGGAGTGGAGGGGATCTTCTAATTCAGTTGGTAAATGTGGTTTTTAACGGCGATTTGGTGAGTGCACCCCATGTTATCCCCTTCACAACAGTAGATAGCCACACTTTGACTGTTGCTCTCAGAATGAGAGCCCAACTTGGAGACCATTCCAAGCTCCATGCTGGCTTCTCTCAAGACATCCAAAACGAGACACTTTCCCACATGAGCCAGGGTCAAAATTGCCAGTCAGTCGCAATGGACTTAGGACAGTTGTAAGTTTCCCTGATGTGTCCGGTTCTACTTTAGTGACTAGGTCCTCTCTACTGGAGGTTAGAATAAGGGCACCCTTTTTTCTGTAGTCTATTTTAGTAGGGGGACCCTCCCCCAAAAAGGGTAAAAGGGCACTACTGGGGTCCCCAACCTCACTCCCCAAAAAGACCATACACTGCGCGCGCGGGCAAAAAACATCTCGCCTCCGGTGAGGAACTCTCGGAATGCATTCAGGCCTAAGTTCAGCGAGGAAAGGCCGGAGCCCGAGGGTTCAACCCCCATTAAAAGAATGGCCTCGGAACCCAATTTGGATGATGAAACTGTTGAGGTAAATAATGGTTGTTATATAATCCCCCTTTGACCAAATGGTGGTTTGAACCCCGGTGAGGGATGGATTCTGGCGGCTCGTGAAGCATAAAACCCAAAGGGTGACAGCAATTCACTGCCTTGGCACTGACAAAACGGATACGGCGGAATCCCTGCTGGTTCCACGTCTGCAATTTGGGGGAATCCATCGCTGCAGGCAACACCCAGCGAAAGAAGAGCCAGAACCTGCAAAGGACAACAAGTTCTTCCAGGTATCTACCTATTGCGGACATACATTTGGAACCAAGCAGTGGCTTGGAAAGTAGCTTAGTCCAGCATGACACAATCAGCAAACTTCAGACTCCTGGCTGAGATGGAGAGCTCGCTATCCTAAAAGAACCAAGCTGAGGGTGACGCAAGATTCTTGCATTGCGCTTGTCTTGCTGTTCGATCGTTTGTTTCTATTCTCCTTGCTTTACTTCTGTGTTCCTTTCTTTCTTTTCTTTATGGCTTCTTCCTTCCCTCCTCCCTTTCTTTTTCTCGCTTGTCCGTTCGTTCTGCGTTCTTTCTCCTCTTTCTTTGCTTGCTTGCCTGCTTGCTTGCTTCCTTGTTGGTTCGCTCGACGGTATGTTGCTTGTTTGACTCCTGCGCGTTCTTGTTGGGGTTCTGGACATGGCCAATTTCCAGGCTCGCGGTTCTGAGCGCCCGGCTTAAGGAATACATGTTCTTGAGCTCCGCTTCATCTTTGCCCCTGCCATCAGATCCCAGTCTCTCCTGCGGATCCGAGAAGGAATCCGAGAACACGCCAAGCACTTCCGGGCGGGTTGGAACGGAAGGCTTCCATGTAGTCTATGTTGTTTTCGTTGGATACCTTCCCACTCACAGCAGGTTGAAATGGCATCAGCTGGCATCATGCTAGATAGGGAGCTCGCACTCGCTCTCTTCGAAAGGCGGAACTGCTTGTACTCGCTCACTGATAGGGACAGGGTGGCCCTGGAAGGCATATGGACGAGTGCGGAAGCAAGCATTCATGAACATGTGTCGCAAATGCACTGCATGGGCGTGCTTCCAAAGCAAGGGGACCCCAAACATGACTGGCTTCCTCATTGACAAATTGACCGTCGAAAGGGCGGACTCGATTTTTGAAACACCCTCAAGTCTCGTCTCACAAGGGCAGCGCTGCTTGTTAGGCAGTATTTTTGTGCTCTTGGGCTTGCCAATGATCCCATACATCCTGGATCTTGCCTTTGCCTCTCTATTGCGCGCTTGATTCCTGGGCTGTGCGTGCCATGGTCAGAGGATACGTCTGTGGATCGTGGTCGTGGAGCTTTGCCCGTCTGGCGGTTCAACATCAGCAACGACTGATCATCAGCCAAACCAAATCCTTGCGTGGAGATTACCATGATTGCAAGCCGATTGGACAAGCGACAAGGTTTCTCAAGCGGTTGCTCATGCGCGTCATAATTGCCCCACCCAGAGGCTTCTGGGGCTTTCAATGGAAGACCCGACCTCTCCATTAAACACCCCGGAGGTGTTTGGGGATCTCAAAACCTGGCTGTTTGAGGGCCTGAAATACATCGGGATCCTCCGTCTATAAACAATTAAGGGTGGTGCGCATCACAGCACAAAGCCGGTCAAAGCGTGCGCGGAATGGATGTTCCAAAACCTGAATAAACACAGAACAAACCACGCATCCATGCGTCTCATGTCGTTGGGGGCCCCTCTAAGTGTGTTATTTTCCGGCTTCAAAAAAGGCCTCCCTCATTTTGAGACTCATTCTTGTCAGCGGGAAAAAACTACTCTGCGACGTTGTGCCTGAAGGCTATCCCTCACTTCCCGTGTGGATGGCCCCAAAAGTCGAAACTTTTTACTTACCACTAAAATGGTCCAACCCTAAAAAGTAAAAAGTCCAGGAACTCTGGAAGTGAGATATCCACAAGCGAGGGCCGTTCTACATATTCTACTGGATCCTTCCGGTGGTTCCAGGGTCCCAACGTAGTTTAAGCATGTCTGTCTGTCTGTCTGTCTGTCTGTCTGTCTGTCTGTCTGTGTCCGTGTCTGCGTATGTGTCTGTGTGTCTGTGGTTGGGCTTCTGTATCTGTCCCCAGGGCTGAGCCTCACCTCCCTATGGGGGCAGTGGAGCCAGGCCGGAGGCCAAATAGGGGTTGATTGATCTGGGGTCAACGTTGAAACTGCCATCCATCATCTCCGTGTGGCACTCAAACTTGGGCTTCTGATCGAAGGCGCTCCTTGAAGTCCGTGTAGCTCAGGCCTGTGCCACGTTCTACGAGAAGGGCGTTCGGCTTGCTGTTTGTTGGTTGATTTCAAAGGTGACCCACCCAAATCAAGGAAACCCAAAGACATGGGCACCCTACAAAGAATCAAACAAACACACTCAAACAAAGAAGCAAAGAAGCAAACACAGGAGCGAACAAGCAAGCAAACAGAAACCCCAAGTTTGCAAACACATGACACATACAAACACGGGGAAGTAGGACAAAAGAGCCGGCGGACCGAGCGGCAGAAGCCATTGTTGGTGCCGGAGCTGGAGATGGAGCCCACCAACTCCAGGATGGAGTCCTGCGAGCGGAGGTCTCGTTTCCGTTGTTCTTCTTCCCTACATGTTCTTTTTTCTCGAAGGATTCTTGACAAAAGCATTGGATGCCTTGGATGCCTTGGATGCCTTCCATACAGCGGGGTGCCCGGTGCCCTCCTTCTGCTGCGCGAAAAGAGGGTTACCCTGAAAACATGAGGATGGCGACACCGATATGCAACCCCAAATTGGGTTAAACAAACCAAGTGGGTTAAGCCTTTGGCCGATTTTGAGACTCAAAGCCCAACCTCCCCCCTATACTCCCCCCGCATTGTTGCAAAGACTCTATGTGCGGCTCGTCTTTTTGTTGAATACCCTGTTTTGGGTTGGTTTAAAATCGAAACCCAAAAAGGACATCCCCTATTTGACACGTCATATACGCTGGCCGAGTGGCCTGCATCCTAATATGACTTTGAAGGAGCCCGGCTCCTTTGGCTCACAGAAAGACGCACAGAAAGGGCTTCCCAAAAGGGTAGCACAAACAGCCAACAGCCCTAATCCCCCCCCCTTAACCCCCCCCCCTTAACGGCGTGGTTCCCAGCAAACATTTCCTGACCAGACCTCCGGGCCCAGATCTAGGGAAACTTCCAAGGTTCCTTCGTCCCGGTGAAGCATCTTAGAAGGTTTTCGAGGTTGGGCTTTTCCTATGGGGAGCGATCACTTGAAACAGCGACCTAGACCTCGAACAGATTCCCTGGAGCCTGTACAAGCGGGTTGTAACCCTGTCAAAAGTTCCCCCCCTTCCGCCCCAAAAGAAAAAGAAACACGGAACAAAATCCCACCGGAGGTCGCCCAAAGCCCTTCGCGAAAAAAACAACGGTGAACAAGCGGAATGAGGGGACACCTCCCTTCCCAAGAAGTTGAACACCACGGAAGGCACCCGTCACGGAAAAGCAACAACAACAAATCAACATGGCCGGAGAATCCCCACAGCAGCGTTGCAGCTTTCTCCTGGGAGTTGACCCCCGCCCCGCCCGCAAAAAAAACAAACAAAAAACACAACAAAACGACCACGCACACAAAAACAGAGGCTCCTGTTGACCCCCCCCCCCGGCGGCAAAAAACAACACACACACACAAACGAAACTGGCGCGGGGCTGGGAGCGGGCGGAGTACCCCAAGGAAGACGCAGAAACTCTGGGGTTCATTCCCCAAGAACCGTTTCCTGCAGCTCCACGCCGTAGGCAGGGTCCACTTTTGGATTACCCGGATTACCCCAAGGTAGACTTAACCCAGGGGTGGTTCATTTCCCCCAAAAGGATCAATTATGGGTTTAAGTCTTCCTTGGTCAAAAAGTGGAACCCTGGCCATACGTGTCGATGTAGTGGACAGTCATACGACGCTGGGAAGCGCAGACTGGCAGGCTTCCGCGCTGACAGCAGGGCAAGCTGTGTGAAAGCCTGGCTTTCCGGTGACGTCTTCCGTTTTTTCGGCCTTCCCGATTTCAAAGGCAGCTCAACATCTTCTTCGTTTCTTGTTGAGGGGGAGGGGGATTCAGAGGGATTCCTGTTGTCCCGCCCTCAAGCTTCCCCTTAAAACTTAAACCCCAAGCCCCCCCTCCCTTCTTTCGCCCTTTCCCAAGCCCCCTCAAGCCCTTTTCCAGTCCCTTAGGCTTCCCCTGAAACCCCCTCCTCCCCCCCCCCCCCAGCCCCCTCAAGCCCCCCCCTCCAGTCCCTTAGGCTTCCCTCCCTCCGGGGGAGGTACCCAAAACCGACATCGATGGATCCGCTCCTTGGAGCTGAGCAGTGGGAAGAGCACCTCCCGCGCAAAGGCCTGGCCCAGCGCCCGGCGGCGGAAGGCCAAGAAGCTCACCGAGTCCATGGTCAGGAACTTCGCCGGGTAGCCCCCTGCATTTCATCCGACCGGGAAAAAAAGAGAGGGAAAAACACGGCGCCGGGGCTTTCTTCTTCATTTCTTCCTCCTCCTTTTTTTCTTTGGAGGGGGGACGGGTAAAGCTTGTCTTTGAAGCAACCATGGTGGTTTCCCTTTGGTCTCCCTAAAAACCAACCCCAAACAGATGTCTTCTGGAGGTTTCCCTTAGGTTCCAACCCCCCCCCAAAAGGCATCTTTCAGGGGTTTCCCTTTGAACCAACCCCCAAACCAACGGACCAAGTCCGCGAAAAGCACCGGATGGGCCACCTTCCTTTTGCCGCAATCAAACTGGGAGACCAAGGTCACGTTGACAACACCCCCGTACCAAACCCTGGTATGTCCTCCTCGTTTCCTGGTGAAGTAACTCTCAATATGGCTCTTGCCCCCCCTCCCAAAGAAAACAACTTGTTGATTGTCGGTCTTGAGCTTGGATTGGCTTAATCAAGAGCCAGGGTTGTCCCCAAACCACCACACCAAACCAATCAAACATTGCCTGAGTTTATGGTTTGGACAAGGGAAAAAAGGAAACATCTGCGGGACGAGGGCTGGCAACCGCCAGAAAGCTGGCAAAGAAGAAGCGCATGAACTACTCTTCACAACCCTTCTCTTCAACCAAAAGTGAGAGAAGCCGGGTCATAACTGGAGTCTTGCCCTCTTGCAAACTATAACGGGCTTGCAAAGTTCTGGCTACCAAACGTCTCATCGGCACCGCCGAACACGAATGATAGCTTGAGTTGTTTCAGGGCTCAGCGTGAGCACACTTAGCGTGACACGGGGCTCCCTAGAGGCCCCTTTTCAACATCCACCAGAGCAAACGACAACTCAAGCAAGAGTGGGCCAAAGGCCTATATTTAAATGACCAACGCACGCGGAACAAGACATGACATGAGGTGTGCGTGCTTTGTTGGTGTTGTTGCTGCTGCTGCTGCTGCTGCTGCTGCTGCTTTTGCTTTTGCTGTTGCTGTTGCTGTTGCTATTGCTATTGCTATTGCTGCTATTGCTGCTATTGCTGCTATTGCTGCTACTGTTGCTGCTGCTGCTGCTGCTGCTGCTGCTGCTGCTGCTGCTGCTGCTGCTGCTGCTGCTGCTGCTGCTGCTGCTGCTGCTGCTGCTGCTGCTGCTGCTGCTGCTGCTGCTGCTGCTGCTGCTGCTTGCTGTTGTTGTTGTTGTTGTTGTTGTTGTTGTTGTTGTTGTTGTTGTTGTTGTTGTTGTTGTTGTTGTTGTTGTTGTTGTTGTTGTTGTTGTTGTTGTTGTTGTTGTTGTTGTTGTTGTTGTTGTTGTTGTTGTTGTTGTTGTTGTTGTTGTTGTTGTTGTTGTTGTTGTTGTTGTTGTTGTTGTTGTTGTTGTTGTTGTTGTTGTTGTTGTTGTTGTTGTTGTTGTTGTTGTTGTTGTTGTTGTTGTTGTTGTTGTTGTTGTTGTTGTTGTTGTTGTTGTTGTTGTTGTTGTTGTTGTTGTTGTTGTTGTTGTTGTTGTTGTTGTTGTTGTTGTTGTTGTTGTTGTTGTTGTTGTTGTTGTTGTTGTTGTTGTTGTTGTTGTTGTTGTTGTTGTTGTTGTTGTTGTTGTTGTTGGTGTTGGTGTTGGTGTTGGTGTTGGTGTTGTTGTTTGTTGTTGTTGTTGTTTGTTGTTGTTGCTGCTGCTGCTGCTGCTGCTGCTGCTGCTGCTGCTGCTGCTGCTGCTGCTGTTGTTGTTGTTGTTGTTGTTGTTGTTGTTGTTGTTGTTGTTGTTGTTGTTGTTGTTGTTGTTGTTGTTGTTGTTGTTGTTGTTGTTGTTGTGGTTGTGGTTGTGGTTGTGGTTGTGGTGGTTGTGGTTGTGGTTGTGCTTGTGGTGGTTGTGGTTGTGGTTGTGGTGGTTGTCGTTGTCGTTGTCGCTGTTACTGTTGCTGTTGTTGTTGTTGCTGCTGTTGTTGTGGTGCTGTTGCTGTTGCTGGTGCTGTTGGTGGTGGTGGTTTTAAAGGGACACCATGAGACATCAGAAGCCGAAACGGCGGAGAACGGCGCCTGCGTTCTCTGCCTCCTTGGCGATCATGCCTCACAAAGGTCCCATGCCCAGGACTCAACGTGGAAAACCATGGTTGATTGGCCAAAATGGCAACTTTTCTCGGTTGCTTTCTGCTCCCCTGCTAAACGTTTAACTTTTGGTGGTGTGATGGAAACCCATTAGTTGGCAAAAAGTTAAAGTCCTAACATCCGAGCAAAATGCACCAAAGTTTTGACTGACGACCAATCTTTCTTGTGACTTAGACAAACACGGGCGTGCAGTCAAAAGTTGCACCCACCTTTTTTGGTGACTTAGACAAGGTGAGGTTGCACCTTGCTGGTGCTCCCCCCACACAAAAAACACAAACCACTAAAACTGGCGGCGTCTTGTGCCGCAGGGTTCAAACAGGTTTCTCCGTGATGTTGAAATGCCGACATGATCGCACGCCATGAAGCTGCTTCAGCCACCCAGATTCTGCAGAACCAACAGGAGTCGATCCTGCGCATTCGGTGCTTAGCTATGTTGACCAAGCTCAAAGGTTCAACCAAAGGTCAAAGCTACGATCTTTGACGTGACACTGTGAGACCATGCCTTTGCACAAGGCAATGGTTGGGCTATGTGCAAAACATGTTCATGCCCGCCTTTCATGTCAAACAGCAGCTGCACATATGCTTGAGTTGGATTTGAAACATAAGTTGAAGTCTGTCCATGATCCATCGACCAACGCTTGGTCGTGCTAGGGCATAACCTTGTTCAGCCAACTGCTACGATGGTGTTTGGTCACCCCCCACCCCTAGCCCCCAAAAGCTGTGCTTAGAACGTGTTGCAACGTTCATTTATTGGGAGAACCTGCCAACAAGCCACACATGATGCTTGGTTGTGGGCCCAATGTTCGTCATGAATGCGTGACAAAGATGGTTTGCTTTACGAAAATGTTTTGTTTTGTTTTGTTGTTCGGTCCAACCAATTCCCCCAAACACGGCTGTTAATCAAACAAACAAACAAACAAAAAACACAAACAAACAAACAACCTGAACAAACTGAACAACCTGAACAAACTGAACAAACTGAACAAACTGAACAAAATGAACAAACCAACCAACCAACCAACAAACAAAGAAACAAACAAACAAGCAGGGAAGCAAGCAGGCAAGAAACCCACGAAGGGACAAAGTCCAACCATCCCCTCGCTTTCTTCCGCCGCTTCTTTCCGGTCGGAAAGGGAGGATCTCTCCGAGGCGCTGGTCAGCAAGGAGTTGAAGAGCGACACCTGCGGGGATCCCCGACGAGCGCATGGAGGGGTCTGGGTTGATCCCACCTTTCACTACAAAAGGGAGCCCACGGCCAGGACCTGGGTACTTTGTAGGACCAACCAAATGGGGTGGCTTGCTCCTCTCTTGTAAGGTTGGAGCCCCCAGAAGTGTGGCTTTGACTTCGGTGTCCCTTGAACACCACGCAAAAAGTGGTATTCAAAACAAAAGACACACTCCAATGGCGGCTTGGCAAATGGCACCAAAGACTAGAACCTGTGGTTTGACCTAGCTCCTTGATTCTAAGCCACGCTCGTTGGAGGGAATGAACCGGAAGACCTGAAAGGAAACCAGTATATAGTATGGTTCATAGCGGTCATGAGCCCTCATTCCCGATGGGCGGGTCCTTTGATGCACAGCTTTGGGTGGTTCAAAGATCATTTCTCGGGCCAGCTTTTTTTTTCAGCCGCCTCACGGTGCGGTGATGCCTAAAAGGGATGGTTGGGTGCGTCTCCAAGAAGGGAACCCTTGAAGTTGCATAGCCTCAGGCAAGCCAGGAGGCAACCTTCCGATTGTGTTGGTAGCCACACGGTATTCTGCAGTACATGAGAAGCTTGGCGAGCTGGCTGACTAAACCAAACCTCCTCCAGGCAATTTGATGAGTTTGCGCCATCTGTTTGCTACAGTAAGCAATGGTTAACATTGACCCTCGACCACATCTCTTACACGTGCTTCTTTCGTTGCTCCGAAAAGGCGTGCTCGAGCTTGGACAACCGGTCCCATGACCATGTCCGAAGCTGCCTATCCCTGACCATCGCGAGGCGCCCCAAAATGCCGTTGCTCACATGTGCACCTCTTGGGTCTCTCGGTTGCGACACGATTTCTCATAGGTGCCTCCTACGTGTCTCATGTTCTCAATGGGCGCAATGGGCGCGTCCCCTTTCTGTCGACTCTGAAACCCACCTTGTTTGGCGCTTGGTTTCCCCTTGGATGGGTTCCAACTCGTTTTCCTGCTTTGACAATTTCGATGGTCTTGGGCTCTACGAGGGTTTCGAGGCTGATTTTGACCCTCAAACAACAACCCCCCATCACAACCAGGAGTTTGCATAATGTTGACCCATATGAACAAACCCCAGTTTGTTCATAGGGGGCTGTCCCTGGGTTTAGTGGGGATTCTGACCACAATTGGAGGGCCCCCCCCCCTATCTTAATAAACTGTTGATTAATCTAGGATCAACATAAACCCAGACCACTCAGACCAACCCCAAAAAAACTCTTTTTGTGGGCCCAATCGAAAATCCCCTGATTCCAAAAGTGAAAGACCAAAGATCCAACAAAATAGCCATAAAGTTATCAACATGGTAGACTTTTTGGTTACGCCCCCAAAAGTATCAGAACCTGGCCAAGAGGAACTGGCGCCCGAGCAAACAGAACTGGCCACCCCTAGGTGACACCCCCCCTCTCAAAAACCGGGGGTTCTGCGGAATCTGCGGTTCCCACTCAACTTAAGAAGTTCGAAGGGCTTATCCTTGGCTCACCCTAGGCTCATCCAGAGAAAGCCCCACCTGGAGCCCCCCCTCGCGGGTCCATGAATCAGTAGAACGGGGGCAAATCCATGCCTTGATTGGTCAGCTTGCCCCAATCAAAACTCACAGGTCTTAGTTTTATGCTGGTCCATATTCAGTGAACATGAAAGTGTATCACAAGAGATCGCAGGAAAATACTGGTAAATGGTTTCCCAATTCCTAGTTGGCAAGCATCTGCATGACACAAAGGATTCCGTTTGAAGCAGCCGACACGAGCGAATGGTATTTGTAATACGGACGACCCGAACAAAAGGGCAATGTTGACCCCATAGTAATCAACCCCAGTTTAGTAATTGGGGGTGTCCCTGGTTTTAGTGGGGAATCAAACCACTTTGAGGGGCTCCCACCCCCCCCGAATTTCATTAACTGGGGTTGATAAATATGAAGAACATTAGTGGCTCACTTTAAAACCATAAAAAGCGGGGAATTCTCAACTACGGTGTCTCAACCAAAACCGACCAAAACCTGTCCCAAATCAGTCTCTGCTCCATATCTCACTTCCTCAGTGGATCGTCCAAACAGGCGCAAACTGCTTGCTTGCCGCTAAACTGGTCCAACCCCGAAAAGTTTGAAGCCCAGACTCTCAGGGAGTGAGAGATCTTCCGTCGACGACGTGCCACGACGGCTTCCATCGGTTGAGCGGGTCAAAGCCCCGAGGTCCGAAGCTTCGGCCTGACGAGTGCTCTGCACATCCCCGAAGAGGCAGTCCACGGTCTCCAGGAAAACATCCGCCTCAACGCAACTTGCTTCCCGAGCGGATGGCCCGAAAAAACGTCCAAGCTGTTTACTTACCACTCAAATGGCCCAAGCGCAAAATGTATAAAGCCCAGGAGCTCAGGACGTCTCAGGGAATGGAGTCCGAAACCGTTTTGGTCTTCCAAAAAAGGACTAGGCATGTTCTTGTTGGTCATTCCCTTCGAGAAGCATGACTCAAACTGGACCAAAATTGGGAAATACCAGGTTACAAGTTCGATCCGCTTTGGGCAAGTGACGATAAATCAGGTTGCCCCACTTCAGGGAGGCTGTCCCGTCTTGTCTTTCGCGAGAAAGGGAGGGCACAAGAATGCCGCCCCCGGCACAGCTCCGGATTCCTTACCGGGAACGCACCAGACTGGAAAAGACGATACATTTTCACTGTGGATGGACAAAATCCTGCACCACCTAAGAATCCCTGGAATGATAATTATCCTGTAAGCACCAACAAATTATGATTTCCCATGGTTTCAAAGCGGTGCAGGATTTCGTCCATGCACTGAATGGGTATGACTTTTGATTGGCACCCTTTGGTGGACATCATTCAGCCAGGGACTTGTGTCCACCAAACATTCTTCGGAGGGTGTTCCCCATCAAGATTTCTAGCCATATGTAAATCTGGGCACCCGCAGAATGAACGAGGCCATCATCATTGGGCCATTGGGCCTGAGCTCGTTTTACCCCTGATCGGCGAGCGCCGCAATAGAGTTTCAGATTGCGCTTTGAGTCTTACGAGAATAGCCCGCAGTTGGTCTCAATCAAAGCGGTGCAGTGGCACACTTGGTTCTACGCAGGGCCGATATTGCCCTTGCAAGCAAACCAGCAACACATGGTTGAAACAGCAGGGTTCAACAAACACTGACCTTCCCCCAATCCAAATTCCTTCTCTTAACCCTCCCCTACCAACAAAATGCATGGGGCGAGCTTTGCTTGGATGTTTATAGGCAAGTGGATTCCAATGGATGCAACTCGGGAAACTGGGGTCAGGGCCTACCTGGAGTCTCCACGACCAGTCGAAAATGGGTCCATGACCCCTTTATGTTGGGTAGTGACCACATTTTTTACGGGTCATGGAGACTCCAGGTACTTGTTCAACACATTTCAAGAACCATGCTTGCAATTTGATGGCGGCTTCCGTTGTCTTGACTACCACGTCCCTAACCAGAACTCCCGGTGGCTCCCAACAGCTCCCTCTTTTGTCGGCAAAATTGGATACCCCAGCTCCGTATTCGGCTCCCTTCCAACCAGCTAGTTGAACCCAAAGTGGGTTAACCATCCATGTGCGAGCACTAAAAAGAGCACCGCATGCTGTTGGGGATATCACCTGAGCCACAATCAAAACCCAGTATTAAAATGGTGAACCCAGAACCATGTAAAGAACTAAGAAGGCGGCCGAAGCTATTTATGGCTGGGATTGGCCCTTACTAACCTTCATCTACCCGGGTTTTGATTGTGGCTCACCTGAGCTTTTTTTTTTTAAACAAACAAACACATGCCTCGTCCCCGGAGATGTGCATCGCCAGCTGCGACAGGTAGGTGGTCTGCTGCTGGAGGATCCAGCACATCCGCGAGTAGGTCTGCCAAATTATCGCGCTCTGGGGTAGTTTGGGGCTTCTTTCAGCCTTAATTGACACTGGACACATAGACGGAAATCATGTACATAGAGGATATGCGTCCATCGAGGCAGTAGACACATATGGGTGTGTGTGGGTAATTATTTGGGGGAAACCGAAAGCCACCATTTAGGGGTCTCCTAATTTTAACAAACCCATACATTATATACATATGTGAACTTCCCAACATTCAACAGGCATACAAGGTGAGTGTCTACTGTGCAGTGTGGCTGAATAATGGAAACAAGCCATCAGAATGCAATGAGGCGTCCGGCTCTCGAATCGATGAATAGCACGTGGTGTCTCAGTTGCGTGGCCATGGGCCACAAAAAGCGGCACCATTTTTTGTTGCTTCCATTTGCGACAAACACGCAAACGTGTCCAGTCGTCATAGATGTTTTTGAACACCAACAGAGACCAACCAATTCTTAAACAAATGCAAGGTTAGCCCCAGAGCAAATCCCCTGACCATGGCAAGCACGAGTGCGCGAGCAGCTCACCAAATTGATCCTTAAGTGCCAACCCAAAGTCGAATTGTATGCGCTATACCTGGACCCTCAGATTACTATTGAAATTGGCAACTCATGCCTTCATGTTTACTCAATGTTTAAGGGTCAGGTATAAACTAACTACCTACTCAAGTGAGTGACCAGTCCTATTAAGAACCTCTTCGTCACTTTGGACTTTGGACTCTCCAATCTACCCCCTCCCCCTCACCCGCGCAGCAGTGCCCATGCGGAGCAAGATCACATCCCTGGTTGGCACTGTCGCTTACTTTTCGTGTGGCCAAACGGCACTACAACTTCCAAAGTCCGGCAAAGCAACCACCCTGGCCCCTGTCCTTTTCAGCCACATGCGCGCAACCGCCCCGCAAGAATCAGTACATAACTAGGTCCTTCAGTAGAGAGGTTAAAATAAGGGTGCCAACTTCTTTTTTCTGTAGTCTATTTTAGTAGGGGAACCCTCCCAACCAAAAAAGATTTGGTAAAAGGGCACCAATTGCTGGGGGACCTAGGCGAAGTTCTGCCATCACGCTCCAGGGCCCCAGGGCCCCAAACCCCCATCCCAGGGCGCGCCGCGAGGTACTCGGGGATCCGGGGGTCCACCAAAGAGTTGGAGGCGTCAGGCACCCCCAGCGGCCCCGGGAACCAACCTGCGGCTTTCGCGAGTCGCGCGGGAGCCGTCGCGGCTGGGCAGCCGAGTGCTTGAAAGGGCAAATGAGGCGTCCAGCATGGTCCACATACTTAGGGCACCACCAATATGCAAGGTGACTTCCAAAAACAGGAGGGCGGCCAAGGAAGGATTTCCTTGAACCCATTGTCAATCAGATTCTGAATGCCGCCGCTCATGTGGAATGGCTACTTAAATTAGCGGACATGCTTCCACACCCCATCAAACACATCTATCCCCTTGCATATTTGCGTGCGGCTCGGCTTGTTACAGTAAAAAAGAAGGAAGCTTACCAGAATTAAAAAAGAACAGAAAAGAAACAAACACAGTTTTTGGTGGTCCTCGATGAGGTCCCCGATTTTGTTTCTGCAGGGCCTTCGAAGACGTGCCATGGCTTGCCCTGAGTTGCCCCGTCGGCTGTTCTCAATGGATGGTTGGCCCTCCTTACAATGAAAAAACCAACCAGGTCTCTCCAGTAGAGAGGTTAGAATAGGGGTACCAACTTTGTTCAGTAGTCTATTTTAGTAGGGGAACCCTCCCAACCAACAAAGTGGGTGAGAAAGGGCACCCAGCTGGGGGACCTAGAAAGCTGAGGCCCCTCGATCAAACAGGGCAGCCCTTCGATCACACTCTCGTCGCGTCGAGCAACGGAGGCTCAGCTTCAAGGCGTCGTTAAACTGGCCCTGGAGCGTTGCCAGCGGCTCCTGGCGATTTTGGATTTCACTCGGGGAGTTGTTGGGGGGGGTGGTTGGGGGGGTGGTTGTGGGGGGGGTGGTTGGGGGGGGTGGGGGTGGTTGGGGTGTGTGGGGGTGTGGGGAAGCCGGGGGGATGGGGGCGGGGGTGGCGGAGTTCTGCGAGGACTTTGGAGGACAATAAGCGGGTTCTCTCTGTCTTTTCTTGTTTCTTGATCGGGGGGGCCGTTTTTTGGGCGTCGTTTTGGTTTCTGTTCTGCTTTGTATTCTGATGAACCCAGGGACCGAACCCTGTTTTCTCTATTTGCAGTCTGGTGCAATGCTGACGGGGTCCTGGCCGCATTGGCCGCAGCTGGTAGCCCACGTTGAAAGGTGTGACGATATTGTCAGTTGTGTTGTTTAGGGTTTCGGTAAACCGCTCATGAGGGAACTTATACTCAACTTACTCGAATCAACCCACTCGACATGCCTTACTTGACTTGGATTGCCTTCCTCCCGCGGCAGCCTAAGTGTGCCTGTTTTCGTGTAGCAGTGATTGTGATTGCGTGCGGCTGTGATTTGTTCGTCTTTGCGTTTGTGTGTCTGTGTCTGTGTCTGTCTGTGATTGTAATTGTTCGTGTGTTTGTTTGTTTGTTGGTTGGTTGGTTTGTTGGTTGGCTTGTTTGCTCGTTATGAGCAGGATCCTGTACGGTTCCCCACTAGACGGAGGTCTCCATGTACATGCGGATCCTGGCAATGGATTCGGGCCCACCCCGCTAAGCATGTTTAAGGACCTGTTAAACCATTCCTCCTTTCTCAAAAGTCCTGGAACTTTGTGCTTACCACTGATATGGTCTTCCCAACATGTGTGAAGTCCAGAATCTCAGCGAAGGTAGCGTCCTTACAAAATGGGGGCTCGGGTCTGGTCAGTTCTGCAAACCTGGTCAGGGATCCTTAAATGAAAAACACCTGAACATTGCAACTTGTGAATGGTGGTGTCCATTTCTTTAGTTTGGTGTTGAAAAAGCAACATGTTTCAAATGGTTGCGAAATGTATCTTTTGAGGAGCCCTGTCTAAAAGTTCCAAATTTCGGGGGGGCGATTTTTAGATTTTTAAGGTTGCGAAATGGAGATCTTTTAAGGAGCCCTGCAAACCTCCTGAGTCAAAACTCGTTGGTTTCCCAGAAAACCCACGGAATTCGGATCTCGCGTTTGGTTGCTCCCTTCATGGACCGGCCTATGGGGGGCTATGCTATGGGGGCCAACCCAAATAAATTCGCAGCTTCCATTTGCTCAAGCTCCCAGGAACACATGCGAACATATGGGAGTGAAATCGATTCCCTCTGAAACCAGCCCAGCCGGGTCACACCCCACCGGGTTCCCTCCTCCTCGGCCCTGAGTTCGCGGATCTCCTGGAGGATCGTCTTCCTAGGACGGTGGACGGCTGACGGCTGGCGGAGCCAACGTGTCCCTTACTCAGCTTCCCGTGTAACTGGGCTGCCCTCAGATCCCTTGCTGAAAGTGACGAACCTTTTGTGGGTTGAAGGGAAATCCAACCTAAACCAGCCAAAAAGCTAAAAGGCTAAAAAGCTGAAGGGATGGCGGGGAGCCAAGGTAAGTGTACCCTCCCATGCTGCCGTTGACGAAAGGGGGGTCCTGAAAGGCAAAGGGTCCGAACTCATGTTAGAGAGAGGGGGAGGCAGGGCGAGAGCAAGGGGATGATAAAACCCATGGGGATTGCGCCATCCACGTTTCACCCAAGCGGAAGTTTTGACGAAAGGAACTCACCCCACCCTCTTGCCATCCATGGCACTAGCTTCACCCCAAAGACCGGCCGGGGGAACCACCAAACTCCCAGTAAAAGACACGGGACACATGAGTCCTCTGGTTTGTGTAGGATATTTAGGGCTTGTCCCCCATGTTCCAAATTGCGATCTGAACCATAGTCATAGACTACTGGACATTTTGATCCAAGCTCCTATGAGCCGTGGTCAATATCCATTGCGCCAACTGACAGGAACATGTCGGAGAGCACCCCCCCCCCGCCCCACGTCCCAATGGTATTTTGGTGACTGTGCCCAAGGCCATCCTCTTTACAACGGATGTTAAGTATTAACCTTTGCCATGTCCAGCTTCAAAACTTTTAAAATGCCATGGACGGGGAACTGGTTTGGGTCTCCAAGCTGAAGTAAGCATTTCGCAGGGGCCTTCGTGCGTGAGGATTTGCGCCGTCCTGATCCCCACCTGCAAGAATATTTTTGAGAGCCCAACTGGGCGGGGCTTGTAAACTAAGTCGAATCATATTCGATTCTGGGTACAGTTTGTCTTTCTCTTCTCTCGATTCTGGGTACAGTCCGTCTTTCTTTTTTTGCGAGGCGCGTTTTTTTTCCGCAAACCCAAGTACAAAAAAAAACAAGGGATCTGGACTATCGCTCGCGGATTTGAACGAGATTCGATTCCAAGAAACAAACAAGGGGTTCAGAGTGTGCTGAACTGGGACCCTGAACCCTGGCTATGTAGCAGGAATCACAACGCAACCCGTGACAGGTGTGTTGAGGCTCGGCTTTTCGTTTTGCACCCTTGGTTGCTCAACACTTCAAAAGGAACACCGACATATCCAAATTTTAGACTTGTTTCTAGCTCGAAACCAGAAGGACCACCTCGGAAAGTTCCTTCCTTCCAAAATCTCGGGCCTTCCTTTTGGACTCCCTCCAGCCGCCCCGTAGCAACTCCCTTGCTCCCCGTTCCTCCCGATTCCCTCGGCGCCCGTCCCTTCCGATTCCCCGTCCGCCCCCGTCCGCCCGGAGTCCGAGCCCGTCCGAGGGGCGCGGTGTGCTGCAGCTTGTCGGCGTAGCGCTTCAGGGCGTCGCTGCGGAGCTGCTCGGACTCCTGCTTCAGCAGGGTCTGCAGCATCACGAAGCTCACCTCGGGGCGTGGTGCGGTGGGTGGGCTTGGGGGTGAGGGGGGAGGGTGGGGGTGTGGGGGTGTGGGGGTGTGTGGGGGAGGTGTTTGGGGGGAGGGGGGGGGGGGTTGGAGGGGTCAGTTGAGAGCCGTGCTGAGATCCACAGTGACAGCTTCTTTTAGATAGCTCCTTTGCGCATTGGTCCCAGTCAAAGACCACACACATGTGATGTTTCAAGTTGGTCTCCCCGACGGTCACTCCCCCCTTTTTGTTTGTCCCGTGCTTACCGAGCGACGTTCTTCTACCCCATGGCTGCTATGGATTGCAAGCCTTGAGCGGGAAGCCCCCAGGACTTCCAACACTTTCGTCAACACATTGGCATACAAGATCATGTCTAGCGCAGTCGGTTTGTTCAAAATATCCTTGTGCCAGATGCTGTTGGTTTCCCTTGTTGCAGTGGTGGTTTCACTACGGAATAAATATGACTATCGGCGTCCCCCCACCCTGTCACCTGCTTATGTGGGTTGAACCACCCAGAAAGGACAATGCTATTGACTGCTGTTGGGGGAACAGTGTGTTGAACAGTCGTCTGCTTAGGTTGTGCAGGGAAAGCCTGTGTCAGCCAATGCGAGCCGGATTAATAAACCCCTGGTCGATTTTGATCGGGGGTGTTTTCTTTGTAGTGGGCATTCATCACGTTTGGAGGGAAGCAGTTGAGCACCCCCCCCGCCCCCCGCCCCCTCATCAAATATCCACCAACGAAAAGGATTTCCAGTATATTCTTCTCCTAGCTGGTTTTTCACCTTAAGGGTCAGTGGACCCTCCATTGAAGGGAGAACCTGCAAAACAGTCGGCCAGTAGGGAATACCTTCAGCCACCATGGCAAGCAACATCCAGCAACATCCCTTTTGCAGGTGGCTTTTTGCAGACTACGGAGTGTCTCACTTTGACGAGTCCAAACTTGTTGTTTGCCACTGAAATGGTGTCCTCCCGCCCACAAGTCCCCCGAAACTTGGGAAGTAAGATGTGAGCTCTCAGTGCTTCCAACATCCCAACGCCCATCTCGAAAGGCCACATCTCGCAACGTGACTCTTCGCATTTTGCGAAGCCTACAGCCATGACCACCCAGTGGTGAAGGCCCGCTGTTCCGACACCTGGATCTCCCAAAACAGGAAAGCCACGTTGGATGGCTTTTAAAACGTTTAAAAGCGACAGTAACAGGAGTCTCTAGTTGCTGAAACAACCTCAAAGTAGGACCAACAAATGGGGTACCGAGCCTCCGTGGCTTCCCTTTGGTTTGCTTGAAGAAGGTAAACCTAACAAAAGAAACACCCCCCCCCCAAAATGTTGGTCTCCCCTTTTTCGGGGCAACCCCCTTCCAAAAACACAACTCGTACCCTCAAATGGTGGTTTTCCTTTGGTTGCCCCGACGCAGATACCTGAAACAGAAGAAGACCGCAAATATCAACAATTGTAGTGTCCCTTTGTTTACCCAACAATTTCGTACAAGTACCTAACAAACAAGCAATCAACGCAACGCCCCCCGATCTACACCCATACGAAGCACTTGGTTCCCCTTTGAACCAACCGCCAAAAACGAGTACCAACCCATATGGGTATCTGTCCAAATCGGGGACACCTACTTCTTTTGGGCCCCCTTTAAACCGACCCAAAAAGTGAAGGTGACTCCAAAAAAAGACAACCATACTGTGGATGGACAAAATCCTACACCACCTAAGAAACCCTGGAATGATGATTCTCCTGTAAATACCAACAAATTATGGTTTCCCATGGTTTCAAAGTGGTGCAGGATTTCGTCCATCCACAGTATCCCTCTCTTTTTGTGGAGCCACCACATTCGCCGTCTTGTCCTTGTTGGAGGAGGTCTTCGGCGCATCCTACCAATGCGACACGCAGCCGAGGGGTCGACCGTTTTTGCGGAGGTTGGCTAAGGGAAGGCAAAAGGAGTTGGTCGGAGGGCGTCCACTTAAGCCAAACTGATGTGTGTGCGTGTGTGTCTTTTTCAGGGAACACCCGAAAAAGTGTCCCCCTTAAACCAACCAACAGGAAGTTCCCTAAAAAAAGGTGGCCCACCCATGTGTTTGAGGGACACCCTGTCGCCAATAGAAACCAAAGGACGCCCGTGACATTCTGGGACCCAGAGAGCCACAAATCCAGCCCGACATGGCACCATTTCAATCTGTCATTTTTTTTCGGGGACCAAACGGCTGGCTTTGCTGTTTCCCTTTGAAGCCCCAAAGACTTGGTACCCTCAAACTGACACTGATGGCCAGGGGTTTTCAGCCTCGGAGCCCAAAGCACGGACACAAAAAAAACCCTCAGCCAGGTGACTCTTGCGGGGACCCAAAAAGACGGAGGGCTTTAAGAAGCAAACCCAATCTGGGGGGCCATTGTTCTGAAAGCTTCGTTGCAACGTGTTCGAAACAAGCAAGTTCTTTGCGTCCGGCGAAAAGAACAACGTCCACCTCAAAATGCTGCATCTCAAGAAGGCCGGCTGAGCCGAAAGTGGTCTTGTTGCCTTGGGAGACTCGAGAAAACGCTACGTTGTGAGTATCCTTTGTTTTGATAGCAGAAATACGGCGAAACGGCGAAACCAAAGTTGTGAGTATCCTTTGTTTTGATAGCAGGAGTTCGTTTCAGGGATTTATCTGGAAGGATTGGGAGTAACTGGGAAATAGTACATAGGGGATTTTGAGACTTGGGATTGAATGGGAAAGATTACTTGAGTCACAATCAAAACCCGGTTTAAAAATGGTCTACCCAGAACCATGTAAAGAATTAAGAAGGCGGCCGCAACTATTTCTGGCTTGGACTGCCCCTTACTACTAACCTTCATCTACCCAGGTTTTGATTGTGGCTCACTTAGGTGAAGCCAAGAAGCGAAAGCCATCGAGCATCTCGAGTGGGGTTGGCTAAGCAGCACCCAAAGTTCCTGTAGCCTTGCTATTAGAAGGCATCACTCAGAGGATGCATGAAAGACCCTGGATCTTCGACAAAGACAACTGAAACCGAAAGAGCAATCAGAGCATGGCATCATCCACTTCCATCCTTTTAGCTCGTCAGGTCGTTTTTTGCATCGACGCCATCACTGAACTGGCTTCGCGAGCCTGGGGAAATCCCCTCGCGGTCCTCTGAAACAAAATTTCTGCACTTCCCACTCTACATTTTTCATTGTACCAGTGACTCAAATTGAAGCAAACAACAAACATATACATTCTATATCTGGCCTTCTTGACTGCTCGGTCCCCCTAGGGGGCAGCCTTTCGACAAATAGAGTTAGAGATGCCCTTCGATGAGCAAACGGTCATCGAGCAGTGCCAAAACCGC